GGCTCACGGGGATCGTCCTTGGGGTAGTCAACGCCTCCAACACAAGGGACGACCCATATGAGATCCTGCTGGGTCAGATGTTTCCCCACCAGCTGGGCCATCACACCGAGCCCACCGATTTTGATCTTAATGCCCCAATCTTCAATATCGTATTCCATCGTTGCAATGAGCACGGTTCGTCGGCGGGTGTTTACCGTGGCACCGGCGACGCCTCCACTCTCAGATGGGAACGGGCCCACATTGGTTAGAGCAAGTCTGGGATTGGATTCCATGTCATTAGATCGATGGGCCACCTTTTGAAAGAGGCTCACCAGTGGAGTGAAGCTTGATCTTTTCTCGGTGACACCGATTTGGTTGAATTTGACCTGGGAAAATGCCTTCAGGTAAACATACACTGCACCGACAGCGCTGGCGACAGGCACAACCGCTAGCACAATAAAGATGGCCAGCTGAACCCACCTGGATCCTGTGGGAGTAGCGTAGACCTTAAGATCGCCGTCACCCACCGACAGCTTGAAGGAAAGATAGGGCGAAGGGGGTGGGATGGTGACATTGAATACGTTGCTCAGCAGCGTGACTGGAGGGACTTGATCCAAAACGTTGTCTCCATCGATGTCCCCAAATACCTGTGTTTGATCGGGCAGGCCGTCTTCGTTTAATCCCCAGGCGTTGAATGCAACCTGCACCGGCCATTCGCCCATGAAGTGGATTTCCCATTGGCCAGTGGTGTTGCTAAGAGCCATTTTGTTGGAATAGCCAGCGTCATATCCGAACTGGTTGAACTCGCCTTCGATGAAGAGGTTTGGGAAACGACGTGGAGGCTTGTACGCCCATTCCGTGTCTCCATGCTGCCAGTGAGCACTACTTCCGGTCAACTTGCTCCAGTATTGGGCAAGGATGTGTTCTCCTTCCCAGGCCTGCTTCGCAGTGCCGCTCCAGCTTTTGCCGGGGATCGACGTATTGAAGCCGGTGTATCTCATCCAGGCACTGAATGTAGATCCAAAATCCAGCGAGTATCGCCACATGTCTGCACCAGGGGCCTGTGGCATTACTGATAAGGGCTCAGTCTCAGACGACGGGTTGTCGAACAGTAGTGTTCTGCTGTAGTTGGCCAACTGTGGCCAGACCATCGGATTGTTTATCTGTCCGATACGGAAAAGAAAGTGGTCGACGGACTGCCCGACTCAATTAGTATTGTGACTTTCTCGGCGTTGATGGCGAGAAATATACTCACACCTGTGGATTGATTTCCATCTGCTGTAGTCACGTTGCTAAGTGTGACTCTGTGAACCCCTGGAAAGACATTGACCAAATCTACCTCGTAGCTGAAAACACTAGTGAGTGCCCCCGGCCATGTCACAACATCAGTCTCTTCAATGGATTTACAAGAGACCGACGTCGTGTCAAGCTGCGGGATCTCGTCGTCAAGCGCTTTGGACGTGATCGTCAGCAAGTTGGTGATATCCCCACAATCCATCTCCTGAGAGAATTCGAAGCCAATTCGTACCGTCTCCCCACTTGTTCCCTGGGGCACAAGTCGAGCGTCATGCCCTGGGGAGAAGCGTGTTATATATGGGGAAGGCTGCACGAATTTATCCTTCGGAACAAAGGCTTTGAAACCCCAGGCCGGCATAGTAAGATTGGGATAACATCCGTTGGGAACGTCAGACCCTTCAAGTCTACTCATTGTCAGTAACCGGAATCAATGTCAGAACAGCAATCATACCTAAGCGTAATCGAGCTGTTGGTCAAGGTCAATTCCTCGAACGGTGGAAAAAGGTTTTTGACCGTTGTTCCCATGGGAAATGGTGAGATCAAAGCGTCCTTACTGCTGCAGTTGAACTGGTGTTCGACTGTTTTGTTGTCATTAGAATACAACAGCCAGACGCTCTGATTCCCCTGGCCTTGGCCATCGAAATTCTGCGCATCCACAAAGCGTGATCTTATGACGCTCCACATCCCAGTCTCGGTCGATGTCCCATTACTGCCTGGAAGGTAGATGTCGAACGTCTGATTTGACAATTGCTGCAGGTACCAGCCATCATTCAAAGCGGGATAGTTTTGACGCATCTCAAACATCATCTTGATGAGGCCTCGCACTGGGTGAGAAGGATCGCGGTGATCGAGACTGACGGAATCATCTTCACATCCGGTCAGGGAGCGGTCGAGCGGGAAATCAACGTATTTCGATGACCCCAGCTTGTAGCATCCGTGCATCTGCCATGCCTGAGCAGATGACATGGGTCCACGACCGAAGACATAGTTGTCAGCCTGGTTGTCCAGTACGTAGAAATCCTGTTCCTCGCCCCAGGAGAGGATGGGGATTCCAGGCATGAGCAACGAAGCGATGTACAGACCCAAATTCTGCTTTTGGGTCCCGTTTTTGATCCCTGGCCACCTGAAGACATCCTGATTCGTGATACCAAACAGGTGACGAGGATCGAACTTACCGGTGTTCGTGTTGACCATATCGTTGGTCTCCACAAGACTATTCCAGGTCTCCACAAAGTTAACCGGCGGGTCGCCTTCGGCAGTGTAGGTACCGTCTAGACTGAACGGGACGATGTTAGCTTGAGTAAACTGAAAGTGCTGAGGGGGAGAAACTAACCCTAGAAACCGGCTCAGACCACGATATAACGTGTAGTGGAACGCCACCCCGTCCAATGCGGACCTCTCCGCAGGTCTCAAGAACAGATCCTCATCTGACTTGTCTGTCTTGTTCGTCATCATAAACGCTTCCGTCATATTGGATTTGGTTTGATTAGTCTGTTGACCGCGACCGATATAAAGCGAGCCAAAAGAGTTTCCCGCCACAATCTCTCCGGGAATGTAGAAGTTTTCCTTTCCCACCTGCTTGGCGCAATCCCGCATATACTCGGACCATTCTCCAAGAGAGTCAAGCGTAACTTGTAGAGCCTTGTCAACGCGGTATCCGTCGATATCAAGCATGGTGATTGTTAGACACGAAAAGTGTTTGATCTTGGCCAGCACGTCCGGCCGCCATCCGCGTAGACGATCCTGCACAAATGCGAATTTGGATATCTGCCCTTCCCATTCGGTGTAGTTGCCAAAGGCGGCAACTTCTCCATACTGTAGAGGTCAGTCATGCTCAATATCGAAAGAAATTAATGTTACCTGATCAAATTCACTATTCCGACATGAAGGACCTAGGGTTGTGGTGGTCAAACCGGTCCCGTCATCATCCCAGAACCGAGGATATTCCCAAAGACATTCACTCTCAACTTCATTTCCAGGCTGAAAGTCCCAGTATCGACGGTCGTACTTCCATACATAGTCGTACTCATTGGGATTGATCGGCGCGGACTTGTTCAAGAAACCCTGAAAACCGATAAGATCGCCCATTCTATCCACAATCAGCAGACGACATCGGAGGTTGCGCAGATGGATCTCACATACGTTGCAAAGGTATTATCAAAAAGAACATAAATCCCCCGTCGATGCGCCTCAGATATCATTGTGCGCCAGTCCTCGATCGTACCAAAGTGATGGTCCAGCAGAGTCAGGTCAAGCGGGGAGTATCCATCCGAAGCCCAGGGGAAGTTGATATACGGTGTTCCAGCGAGATAAACGCCCTGGATATGGTCAATATATTCTTCACATCCAGTCTTCCTGGAGCAACAGACGCACCTTGATCCCCATCCCCTGAAGATAATCAAACGTATCAACCAAACCAAGAACGTCGCCGCCATGGCGGAACTCGTTGGAGGTCAAGATATGTTCCCACTGTGTGCCATTTGCATTATCGTTACTCGGATCACCATTTACAAATTTGTCGAGGAATATCGTGTAAAGGGGAATCGCCAGTTCTCCGGCGAGGGGTTGTATGTGTGGCCATCCCAGTGACCCGAGTAGTCGAGGGGGTGTGTCGCTGTCTGATTTTCATTGAGATTCCAGTTTGCTTCCTCTGGAAGATATGGCAGGGATTGTGCAATGCGTATAGATATTGCAACAAGGGCAAGGTAATGAGTAATGGAAGTGAGCAACTTCATTCTGCACAGCAAATGCCACTATGCATTCACAGAACACGCTGTTCGAGCCTCGACTGCAAAAATACAACCACAGAGTGCATACCAGGAAGAAAGGGATAACTCATAGAAACAGAGACACTGAACGATTCATAGAGCGCAGATGCGCAAGATAAGCATGCGAAAGATAATGAATACTCCAGAGCTGTGCAGGCCAATGCAATAATTGATTCTGAGCGCGAGAATACCAATCACTGTTTTGTAAATCAGCATAGATGCAGGAATCAGGCGAACCGCTGGAGACCCGAGCCAGCCTTGCTGTACAGCCTCCATCCACAGCAAAGCATCGCTATACTCACGCTAAGCGGCTGAGCGGTTCTAATTTTGGATGATGGATCTCAAGCTGAGATACACCATATTTGGTGAGATACACGATATTTGGTGCGTGCATTGTTTGGGCATCTAGACCAGGTTCCAGGCCCAAGCCGGATCATGTCTCATACAAATGGAGACTATCTGACATGCATCGGTATAGGACCTTCGTATACAAGTGTTCCAAGACGAGTCAAGCCGGAAGGTAATCATCGATCATAAAGTGTAAATTATGCAAGATCGGGTATACCGCCTCATAGAAGATAGAACACGTCATACCTGATACAGGACAGACCTATGAGAAATGGTGAGATGTGGAGATGATGATAAGGGTGTGGCTCGTTGTTGGGTGTCGTTCCTGTCTCGTATTGCTTTTTACTTTTTGTTCACGGCCACTCCGTCCCTGTTGCTAGGGCTTCGGCAAGGCGTAATTGATAGTCGGCAATCAAATAGTCAGCGGGAAGGCCGAACTTCTCCTTATCTGACCCCACTGATGCTTTCCAAACCCACATGGAACAAAGCCCAGCTGTCATATTTGGATGCCCATGTGGACCCGATTAAGGAATCTGGTCATGGAAAAATACATTATCACGCAAGGATTGCTGCAACTGTCCAAGAAATCGGGACAGATTGCAATCAACCATGCGGCTCTTCCACTCCGAGGCCAGCACAGTAAAGTAACATGGACAATGATCGTCAACTAGGCTAGCGGAGCCCCAAGACGAGTCACTCGCGAACCCACCAGGGCCCGCCCATCTGCCGTTGGAAGCCATCAGTGCCCTCGATTGGGATGAGTGGTTCCGAGGCGGGCTGCCGATCGGGCCGACAGAATATATGACAGATCATTAATATATGTATTACACTTACGGTACGATACACATCTGTACTGTACCTCACCGTAAATCATTTTATATGACATTGTCAATTAATTCAAGTAGCCTTTTCATTTTCTCTGACTCCATCCGTCAGTTTATCCTCCTTCAACCGGTCATGCAAACGCCACCGACAATGTGGTGGTGGAACATTTTGGTGGTTGCTGCCATTGGGACAGTACATGCGGCTTCCCGAGACCAATGGCTCGGTCGGTCGGTCTACCAAGTGGTCACCGATCGCTTCGCTCGATCCGATAACTCAACCACCGCATCTTGCGATGCAGGACTGGGAGAGTATTGTGGTGGGAGTTTACAGGGCATCATAAATAAGCTGGATTATATTCAGAAACTCGGGTTCGATGCAGTTTGGATCTCTCCAGTGCAAAGCCAGGAGTCAACTCGCACGGCGGATCTCTCAGGTATGGTTATCTTGACTGCCAATGGATATAGACAACTAACGATTGATGGATGATAGCATACCATGGGTATTGGCCAAACGACCTGTATTCCGTCAACTCCCATTTTGGCACTTCCGATGACCTCCAAGCGTTATCCGCAGCGTTGCACGCGCGTGGCATGGTGAGTCGCCCGCTGCCATGTCTACTCACGAAACTGACATGAAAAATAGTACTTGATGCTGGACATTGTCGTTGGTGACATGGCCTGGGCTGGAAATGCCTCCACTATCGACTACAGCACGTTCAATCCATTCAATGATCAGAAGTATTTTCACGACTACAAGCTACTTTCTAAGGACCCCACAAATGACACCTGTGTTCTGGATGTAAGTCTGTCATCGCGTGTTGTGAGAGCATTTCTAAGCCTTCATTAGTGCTGGATGGGAGACAACACTATATCGCTTCCAGATCTGCGAAACGAGGATCAGGAAGTCCAGCAGATTCTGGGCACCTGGGTTTCGCAGTTGGTTTCGAACTACTCAAGTATGTCTATACGTTTCCTATCTCTCCAACGGATTTAGTAACAATTATCTTTGTAGTTGATGGCTTGCGAATCGACAGTGTCTTGAACATTCCCCCCGTCTTCTTCTCCAATTTCAGCAGGTCAGCGGGTGTTTTCACTATGGGCGAAGGAGCCACAAGAGATGCATCCGGTTACTGTTCTCTGCAGCCAAGTCTAAGCGGTCTTTTAAATTATCCGTTGTGAGTAGCTCATCAAAATGAACAGAGGGGTTGTTGACACTTTTTAGGTATTATATCCTCTCAGAGGCCTTCAACACGACCAATGGAGACTTGAACAGGATCGTACAGTCTATTGACTACATCAGAACACATTGCGAGGACGTACTCCCCTTGGGAACTTTCACATCGAATCAGGATGTCCCTCGCTTTGGCTCGTATACTTCAGACATATCGGTAAGTTGAGTGCATCGAGTTTTTTGTCAGCACGTATTGACTTTGTTACTCCTAATTAGCTGGCTCGCAACATTCTCACAATCAGTATGCTCGCTGACGGTATCCCCATCCGTATGTTGCGCCCTCACAAATGGAAACCAAGCCAAAGACACTAATAAAAACAATACAGTCTACTACGGGGAAGAACAGCACCTGTCAGGTGGGTTCAACCCTGTCAATCGGGAGGCCCTATGGCTTACCAAATACTCGATGAACTCGACCTCCCTACCTTTGCTGGTCCAGTCGTTGAATCGCATTCGATCATATGCGAGCGGCGACGGAGAAAAGTCCACGGTCGACCCGAAGTCAGGGAGCGACTATCTATCGTATCTCTCATTGCCAATCTACAACTCAACAAACATCTTGGTCATGCGCAAGGGATTTGCCGGTAACCAGGTTGTGAGCGTGGTGTCCAACCTGGGAGCCAAGCCAGCCACCAAAGCCGCCACCCAAATCACGCTTGGCTCCGACGGCACAGGATTTTCATCCGGACAAAATGTGACCGAGGTCATTTCTTGCAATACATTTGTAACTGATTCAAGCGGAAATATCAATGTGGACCTCAGCTCGGATGGAGGGCCTCGGGTGTACTATCCTACTGAAAGCCTGAACCGAAGCACTAATATTTGTGGAGATCGCACTCAAACATCGACAGCCTCGTCAGCAGGTCCGTCCACCGGCGCTGGGATTTCTTTATTCGGTTTGTCGTGGGAGATGAGGACATTGATAGTCACGGCTGCATTGACCACGTCCTACATTTCCATCTAATTCTCTAGACCGCCTTGCCTTCTGTTTTGATCATGTTTCCTGTACTCCGCATTAGTTTTCGGTTTTATTTGTTGACGTTCTTTTCGATGGTTTCTGCAGTGATTTTACTATAGACGAGATACTCCGTAAATTTAATTCAATTGCTTTAATATTACATCTCGTGAATTACAATGGAAAATAGGAGATATGTTGAGTCACTAGAAACTCCGTATTTGGAGCAGAATTCCGACAGTCGCTTTGGACTATTGGGCACAACACAATAAGACGGCATACAGACCTAGCTCATGTGGTGAATGTTACCAGTCATGACCGGTATTCATTCACGGCTGTAAGTAACAATACAATATAACGACAATAGATTCAATGTTTCTAATTATGATAACCTCAATTTCCGAGCCCTGCCGGTATACTTCGTATTTGCTGCACCTCTCAACGCCAACCTAGCGCTGACGTGATTGTAGCCATTAGTTAGAAGTTTAATTCTTTATTAGCGAGGACCACAGGTCACAATGCGTGTTGGAAACTTAATTGGAAAGATAAGGTGCAATGCTCACTTTGATAGACCCAACACAACAGGGCGGGTCGCTGATGCAGAGGTGATTATAGCAGTGCCCGTTCGTTGTTCCCCTACGTGGACACCAGGATACCCCCTAGACTTTTTCAGTCTCTCCACAAAAGGCTCAGCTCATGTTAGAGATCATATTCTGCTTCTGTGCAAGGGGGTTGGACTATCTCGTATTCTCAATGCGCTCAGCTTCAGCTGAAAGTTACTGATTTCTGTATATAGATCTTTCAACAATCTAGTTCCCAGTCTACCGAACAAATATATATAGTCTTTTCCTGGGAAATAGTGCGACATTCCCCCCAGTACACTCTCTAGTAATTCCATAATTCCATTCCATCAAAATGCGTTACTCATTCACCATCACCGCCCTGAGCCTCCTCTCATCGGCTTTTTCAATTACCGTCACCACTCCGTCATCAAACACGGTGTGGGATTTCTCCACTGCCAAAACGATCAAATTCACTAGCGATTCTAGTGATCCTTCAGTAATCAGCATCATCCTTCGAAGTCAGGATGGCTCCTTCCAGACCAAATTGGCGGATAACGTCAAGACCTCTGATGGCGAATACACGACCCAGCCTAACCCTAGCATTTCCAACGGGTATGTAGAAGATAGAGTTGGGTGAACAGAAAAGAACAACACTAATACCATTCTGTCATGGCTTAGAGTTGACTACGAGATCCAGATAATTGATTCTGCTGGCCAGCTCGCCGTCAGTGACCTTTTTACTGTCAAGAAAGGCGCTTCGGATGATGGTACCACATCCTCCTCTTCTTCCACGTCTTCTTCCACCACCACCACCACCTCCTCCTCCTCCACCACTTCTTCTTCCGCTACATTCAGTGCGACCACTTCTACGTCGGTCACCTCCACTCTTACATCCTCGGCATCTTCAACACCCACGCCGTCGACCAGTCCTTTGTCTTCTTCAGGCATGATGCAACTCCGCACAATGTTACAAGGCGATTATACTAATACACCCCTTTTCATCACAGGCTCGACCACCTCCTCCTCCTCTTCTACCTCTTCTTCCAAGACCACGTCTTCCACCTCTTCCGACAATTCATCCACCAGTGCCTCCGCCTCCCCTCTGCCCTCGACTGGTGCTGCGTCGTCTCAGTTGAGCGCTCCCAAGGGAGCCATGGCTCTACTCGGTGCTGCTTTCGCGCTCTTCTACATCTAGATCATGTCCATCAGACAGTGTTGTGCCTGAAGCGTGTATACAATCGTCTTTCGAAATAAGTAGAATCAAGGAAATAATGTGTCATTACTCTGTTGAATTCTCTTATTCTTGAAAGCTTGTGTCGGGGTGGAGCGAAAGCGTATAGACTAGTACTACATAATCTGATATACTAAATCGAGTTGAGCGATCCTCCTAGTTCGCAAAGGCTAGTTATATGGCCCGGACGGACGCTTACGTCCGAATTCTATACAAAAATAGTCTCCTTACCTAGCTTACTCAGCACTGTGAGCTCCACCTCGTAGGTCATGTGTGTTGGTGCTCCTGCGGCATACCGCAGGACATGCCGAGCTCTGAAGTATATACCGTACCAACAACTCGAGATTGGAATTTCGCGAATGATTCGATTCTTGATCACCTAGCAAGTTGAAATGCTTTTTTGGACTACAGTTAAGGACAATGCCGCCTCCTCCCAAATTGGCATGCTCGCCTCCGTTGTGGATGCGCCAGTCAACAACAGTCACTACAGCAGGGAATGGGATGTATTTTCTCTGGCCGCGATCCCTGCTAAAAAACCACGCATACCAGGATGGCAACAAACGTACTGTCACGGCCGCAGCCGATATATTCTTGAAGATCAACGGCTATTACCTTAAGAAAGTTCCACGGATGGATAGACCAGCACCTAGACATCATATGGGGCTCCAAGTACTATAGGAACTTCTTCGGAGACGATTTTTCCCGTCGTGTTGCGTGTGATGAAATCCGTACGAATGTCGTGCAAATAGCTTGTCAGCGAAGCCCTTAAGCGGTGGTCGGAGAAAAAGCGACGCGCGTGACCGTAAAACATAAGTGGTCGGTTGATTTGATATAAGGTGATCTCAAATTAGTGTTTATAAAGTGTTGCAATCGGATTGTTGTGTTTCGTTATAAGATATATAATATAGCTTATGTACGGTTGAGCGGACGTGATGCCCTATTTTCCACACCCTATAGTCGTATATACTTGATTTAGTAAAGTAATAGTTTCTGTTCTAGTAGTTTCCAATTAGAAACCAAACAATTATATGAATCTGGTTAGGAGCATATCTACGAAGGGGCATAGCGGCCAAAGGCCAAATGCCTCAATTATGCCTTGTTCTAAACCGCTTTCGACACCGCTCTATCTATAACCATTCCTATAACCTTGGAACTAAGGCTATTCCCACTAGACATATATTTCGTCTAGAAAGACTAGCGATACTATTTAATATACCTAGGTATTTTATTGTTATTCTTCTTTACGGTTTCTATACACTTTCTACACCTCTATCTACCGGTCTTTTTTCGGGTCTGTCCGAATATTCTTTATAGAAAGGAGCATAGTAGCTCGCAATCCCTTAATATCTTTGTAGTGGAATTCCTATAATATGATCCTAATTCCTAGGCCTTTATACGACATACCTAAGGCTTTAAACTATCTACCTAGGTAGAATTAACCCTAGAAAATCAGGCATTTAGCCTTTGGCCGCTATGCCCCTTCGCACATGTCAATATCTCACTTCAAATATTTCTCAAAAATACCAGCGCATCTCCGGCCTTCACAGTATCACCTGGCTGCACGAGCACCTTCTCAATCCTGAAGGACTGATCAACACCATCCTTCTTATCCCCATTGTGAGAGACCGAGACTTCCATTTTCATTGCCTCAAGGATGGCAACAACTTGAGCAGAGGATATAACATTGCCATCTGCAACATTGACTTTCCACACGTTTGCATCGAGAGGGGCATACAACGTCAAAATGTCAGGGTCTGGCGATATTTTGTCAGCACGCTAAATCGGTGAATCCTTTTCCATATTTTCAGCTCACCTTCTCTCAGGAGTTCAACTTCATCAGCAGGAACATTGTTTTGCGCCTTTTCCTCCATCCATCTGTCCATCGATTCCTTTTCCAAGGCTAACATCTTTACCTGTGCAGTGGCTTGGCGAGACTTAAACGCTGCTGTTTCGTCTCTGGTTTGTTCAAGAAGACGATTGTGGGCGCTCATGTCGAAAATGACATCTTCGTACTGGAATTTGTAACAACCAGACCGAAAACGCGCCATATCACGCTCAAGCTCTTCCTTTTCTACTCGGTAGAAGGTAATTTGATCAAAGTCACGGAACAGACCCGGCTGACTTGGCGAGAAATCGGGTTTAACTCCCAATTGGTCGAAGCAGGGAATCGTTTGGCCCGTCATCTGATATCCTCCCGGGGAGTCGACGGGATAGATGCTGTTGAAATTAGCATGCTGATTTTATCTTCAACCTCAGTAGTATGGGAAAAGGCTTACTTCATGCACGATCCACCCCAGCTGACACTTCCTTCCGGGGTGTACACTCGACTGGGGTTCTGCTTGGGGCATGTTAAACGATAACGGGGATCAACCGGGAGACAGATAGTATCGCCACAGAAGAACCCGACACAAATAGCCATGAACTCGACCGAAAGGAAAATATCGACCAATTCATCCTGGGTAATGCCGTTGATATTGGCCACAAAGTCCATGTTACTCGGTAAAAATGGAGCATGTGGTCTCTGTGTTTCCATATATCGCTGGATGGCTTCCTGCTGAGCCGGGCTTTCGAAGCAGATGGGAAGACGGAATTTTCGACTTGGAACGTTGGAACTGCTGAGATCGCCGACGGTTTCTTGCAACGATACCAAAAGTTTGACAAGGGCTTCCTGGGGGATCTTCAGACCGTCGTAGTGGATGAGGAGCGCTTTAATTGGTTGCCTATTAGTCCAAGTCAAATATCATCGAGACGAGAGAGAAAACTCACAATTGCAGCATCCGGTGGTCTTGTAGACGGCTCGTCTCAAAGCTTCGTCAGATCCTTGAGACTTCTTGAATGCTTGGTCCAAAGCTGTTACTCGGCAGCGATGATTGAGATTAAATTTCCCATCTCCAAACTCGACTAATAAGAACTCATCCCCACCCTGCCAGTGGCCGTTAGAGGTTGATGGGTAAAGCAAAGTGGAGTATCTCTTACCTGCCTAAATGTCATAGGAATTGCAGATTCTCTCAGTTTGGTGCTGTGAATCAATGCCTTTCCCCAGGTACCAGAAGCAGCTGACTCTGGCAACTCGGAATTCGAGATTGGCTCGATGGTATTCACATCGCACTGGCCGGCTACAAGCGCCAACACGTTTTCCAAAAACTGTTCCAATTTAGTGCGAGCCCGAAGGGCATCCTTTAATGATACCCTGCGGTATTGAATCGTGTCGCCAGATTTAAGTTGGCCCATACGCCATAGACTGGCTTTCACAATCGTGGTAGAGGAAATGAAACCGCCAAGATCAGGGGCGTCCACCGGAAAGATGCAAGGACTGGAATCGCCAGTTGAGTTAGTGGGTAAACCTCAATATATTTCCAGCCGAAACTTGCCTGTCTCCCGTCCAGTTCAATGTTCCGTTCGGGTACCCGTATTCAATCACGTTGCTAGGGTGCTGTCCACCCTCGCCCCCATCTTCTCTTGCCCATCTAGGAGCCGGCCCAACAAGGCGAATGCCGCCTCTTGTGGCATTATGCGATACATCCCTGAAAGAAAACAGTTAGGAGTGCCTCATAATACATCTTTCTACCGCGGCCGCTGGCATAACATACCAAATTGTGTTATAGATCATGTCGATATCTTCGGATACAATGTACCCTTCATCGTACGGCCCAATCATAGCATCAATATCCCAGTGAGAGGAGTATATGGGGCGCAAATGGACGGGCAATGAGATTTTGGGCTCTGCCTCAACTCCCTCAAGCTTCGTAATGGCCAACATATCACCTGGGGCGAGGGGTCTTCCTTGATACCCACCAATTCCAAGTAGAGGGGAGGTTGATTTTGATCCAAAGTATGGGGCACTGTATATGCGATTAGTTTTGGAATGAACAATAAATATTGATGTATAGCTCACATTGCCGGGAATCCTCCAAGAATAGCGAGATATGCTATAAACAAGTTAGCAGGTTAGACACGGAATATGGAGAATATTCTACCTCGACAGCCTCCGGATCCCTTCAGCTTTCCAATCGATAATGTTTGACCAGGTTTGATATAGAGTCGTGTCCACATTGGAGCGTCGGTTCCATCAAGTGACATTTCCATTGGAGCACCACAGACAGATATGCATGCCGGAGCTAGAAAACGTAGCTCCGGTCCTTTCAGTGTAATTTCCAAGCCTTCGGTGGTGGAAGAATTCCCGGCCAAAATGTTGGCAACTGCAAACAAGATATATTATCAGAACTCTACGCATGTAGAAGAGCACCAAACGTGGGTAATTCGATACCTTGAAATGCCAAAGGATCCTGATATCTAAATGTAAGCCGATGAACATTTCTAAGCCTCACGGAGTTCAACTAACCATCGGCCCTGCTTGTGGAATTCCCCGCCCAGCTGTTGGGCGTCCTGGATAGTCTTGTACTGTTGTATACAAACCTGGTGATATGACATCAATCGCAACCGGTGTAAACTCGAAACTGGCCAAGAAATTGGTCAATGTATTACCCGTGAGGAATTCACTGGATTGAATGATGCCGTGCAAAAAGTCCAAATTTGTCGGCGGGCCACAGAGGGTCGAGTGCGACAGGACACCGCCCAACTTTTCAATAGCCGCTGTTCGGTTGAAATCATGCACCATGACCTTTGCGATCATAGGATCTAAAGTTGTCGAGTCAGCCTATGCTTCCATATGACATCTTCAATTCAACGACAGACCGTAATATGTGGAAATTCGAGTTCCAGTAGCGACCCACGTGTCAATTCGAGTGCCGCTCACCTCCCTCCATTCAACATATTGCAGCAATCCAGGAGACGGAGAATAGTTTCGCGCAGGATTTTCTGCATACACACGAACTTCAATCGCACAACCTGAAGGCTTGTCTGGTTGCAAAGATTCCAGATAGCATTTGTCCAGACCTCCGAGATCGCATAACTCCCGATCGGCGTTTTGGAGCATGAGCTTTACGATATCAAGTCCGTAACAGAGCTCGGTAATACCGTGCTCCACTTGAAGACGAGTGTTCATCTCCAGGAAGAAGAAATCACCCGATACATCATCAACTAGGTATTCGACTGTGCCTGCAGATCCATAGCGAATGGATTTGGTCAAAGCAACCGCTGCAGAGGTGAGCTTCTCGCGAAGGCCTAATACTCATCAGCCGGTGATGCATAAGCCATCCGATCGAATTGTGGCAACTGACCTGGGTGCCTTTCCACGAACGGGCTGGGGCACTCTTCGACAACCTTTTGATGACGGCGTTGAATTGAGCACTCGCGCTCTCCGATATGGATTGCATCTCCTAGACCATTACCAAAAACCTGGACCTCGATATGATGGCTCTCAGGATAGTAACGCTCCATAAACACGCCAGCATTCTTAAACAACGTTTCTCCTCGGGAGCGGACTTGCGCCAAAGACGCTCGGACCTCTTCCACTGATTCGCATATCATTAAACCCATACCACCACCGCCACCGGTGGCTTTTAACATGACCTAGAACATATCATTGTCAGCGGGCGTTGCCAACTGCAAATGATGACACGGAATCGTACAGGATAACCTAATTCATTTGCCGCTTCCACCGCCTCGTCCTCCGTGACGAGCAGTCCCTGTGTCCCGGGGACAATTGGAACCCCAGCTGCCACAGCAATCTCACGAGCTCGATGTTTCAGCCCAAACGCTTCAATGGCCTCGGACTTAGGGCCCACAAAGATCATCCCGGCATTGGCGACAGCTTGGGCAAATTCCACATTCTCCGACAGAAACCCATAGCCTGGGATAATGGCATCCACTTGACGGGAGCGCGCGATTTCTATGATTGCATTTCTATTCATCCATCGTCGTCTCAGCCTCAGAGCACGGCTTTTGGGAATGGCAGGGGACAAACCCGTTGATGTATGCGGTAGAATCGTCACCCGGTAGTAGGACCGCCTCATCTGCCGCCAGGATGTGTTGTGAGGTTGCGTCGGCGGCAGTGTAGATTGCAATTGTACGGACAGCTAGCTCTCTATTGCAGAGTAAGCGTTAGTTGGGCTGTTACTGACAACCTTGGAATGGTCCCTTCTCTTACTTGGCCGTTTTGGTGATTCGAACGGCGATTTCACCGCGATTCGCGATCAGTAAAGTTTTCAATTTCTCCATTGCGACAGCATTGATCCCATCAAATTCCGGGGACTCGCCAGTAGATATGTCGATATTAGTATACCCCAGTTCCATTCGGCCGAGGTTCATAGATAAGCTTATCGTCTCCAACAGCTTCGAGCGTTGGGGTAATTGTCGTGCATCCGACTGGCTGGAAACCACCGCCTACCTCGGAGATTCATAAAGAGTCTGGATATTCCCGGCTCGGATCCTTGTATCATTTCGCCTTTAATGTCTCATGCGAAAGAACACAGACGAGTGTACCAGGTATGTGGGCCTTGACTCATTAACACCCCGCATTTTCCCTCTGCCGATCCTCTGACTCTGTGCCCAGGCCTGTGAGCCTTGTAGAGAGAAAAAGGTGCGCTGCGAGTTGGGATCGGCCGATTGTCCGAATAAACCACCTTGTGCGCGATGCCGCAGAGAGAGCAAACAATGTTTCTTTGCCGCCTCACGGATAAGGAAGACTGCCAATCGGAAAGCCCAACCTCTTTCCCGAAAACCCAGGTCTCACCCTGCGACTTTCTTTCCTGATTCGACACCTGTGCCTCAGAGCAATATTACTCCTGTAGAAGAAGAGAGCCAAACAGATGGACGTGCTGCAGCTGCTTTGCTTGAGGGTCACCCCCGAACCTACCATGACGCATTGACATTGCTATCCGAGGCTTGTGAGCACAGTGAGACTCGAAAGGGGTCGACTGATGGCTCACCGACCAATCCTCACTCAGGCGTCAGCCCGAATCCCACCGACTCACCGCTTGGCATTCATACCGATACCAGCAACAACAAAGGCACCGATGAGGCCCTTCGTGCCTGGTCAAACCTACGTTTTGTCCGTGGCGGGCTTTTCACAGCAGAGGAAGCGCTGGACATGGTGGATCATTTCTACAACTTCCACTCTGCCTTCTCGCCCGTTGTGCCGGAATACTTCCGATGTCGTTCCCAACACGCGACGCTGCTGGAGGAGGAACCCGTCTTGACAATTACCATATTGATGATTGGGTCGCGATACCGAAAGTGGACGGGACCAGCTGCGGTCGCGCGTTCCTATATCGTTCATGATCGCATTTGGAGATATCTACAGGGGATGATTTCACGGTTGTTTTGGTCAGAGGATCTGTTCGTGGGTGAATTCCTTTCTCTCAGAGGGCCACGGCCGGCATACACAAACACTTGGTCGCATGGGTTCCGCACGTTAGGAACGTGCGAAGCATTGTTGTTGTTGCTGGATTGGCATCCTCGGGCTCTCCACTTTCCGCCCCCCGATGAGGATACGTCGTCGATCGTGATCCCGGAGCCAAAGATACCGCGCAAGAGTGCTGGTACTGCCGGATATTACGGGCCTGGGTCCGGACACGACTGGCTCGCTCGATCGGATCGCCTGTGCCACTCCATGCTTTCCACTGTTTTGATGCTGGCAACCGAGATGGGTATTTTCTCCGAGGATAATTCTTTTTGGCAAGATGAAGCCGGGCACGACCATCTGAAGGTCGTTCGTGACCACGAGAGATTTCACCGTATACGGTGCTTGATATGGGTTTACGCGACCCTGCAACCGGGTCGACCAGGTATACAGTTCCTCAGCAAACAGGTCCCATGCGACGCTTTTGAAAGGGTCAAGCTAACGAAGAACATGGTATATCGTAGGACGAAGAAACCCGACCCCATGCACTCCGATAAAAAGCCCCGGCATTCGGAATGATGATGCAACGGAATGCTGGATGCGCGTCGCAACTATCATAAAGAATGCAAACGACCTTCTCTTCGTCTCACCGAGACATACAGGAGAAATCATTTGCAATGGACAGTACCTTCAAATTGTTCGCAGCCTTGAGCCACTTCTAAACGAATCACTCATTGAGTTTGACCATGCCAAGTGTATGTACCAACCACCCCATTGTGTGAATCAACGCTCATTCGAATCTAGTGGCCAAGCAGACCCGCTATATCTTGAATATTGAGTACGAGTATGCCAAGCTCTGTATTTTCAGTCTCGCTTTGCAAGCTGCAATCAATCGAAATTCCCGTGACGGTGCAAGTGGCAGACCGGAGACCTGTTCACGAGGTGCTTCAACGGAAGAGGAGAAGCATCTAAGGGGAACTGCTACAGCTGCTCGGACTATACTAAGAACGGCCCTCGATGATCTAATTCCCCATGGAAGTTTGACCTATATTCCCGTTCGATCATACTCTAGGCTTCTTGGTGCAACTTTGATTCTTCTCAAGGTAAGTCGCTCTCATCTTTCATTGTCTTTCGTCGTTCCTTTATTTTCCCCTCATCATCCTAAATCGTGGAATTAGTGCTGCGCCGCTGGCATCAGCGAGATCAACATACCCGCGTCCCTTGATCTAGTCCGACGAGTCGCTGTTGGTCTTCGCAATTCTGCGGTCGATGATACTCACTTGAGTACGCGCTGGGGCGATCTTCTCGAAACCCTCGCTAGTCGACTGGAATCGCGCCTGGCCCAACCAACCACACCCAAAGCGTGTAATATGAGATTCCCATCGTTAGCAACCCTGTCAAAAGATCACGCGGGCGCCACTCAGGTCTCCCATGAAACTCAGCCGTCGACGATACAGTATGCACCTCAAGATATACAGGCCAGTGCTGATCTTGGGAACAATAATTTCTTGGATGTGAACCGGTCGAGTTCAGGAGATGCTAAACGTGACACGCAGTTTGATGCCTGGTCGATGTGGTGGGATGATCAATTCTCCCAGGTGAATCTCAATTACATGCCTTGGTTTCCAACCTTAGGGCTTGTGGGTGGAAGTGATCCCCAGTTCTCAAATGATGCGGCTGATGGCATTTTTGAAAGTACTGGGCGACCTTATTGAGCATTGATTTACATTCCGTCTAGAAAGTCTGGCGACATAATTGAATATTCCTCTGTTGCCATCTTTCTATACGCTTTTTTTACACCTTCTGTCCCTCTTCCTAAGGGTCTTTTTTCGGGTCTTTTCTAGCATTATTTCGAGTATAGCCGCCAACGATCCCCTAATATCGGCATAGTGGAATGCCGTCAACACGAGCAGTTTCCAGACTTTTTAGACACAATGTAGCATCGCCAGGGAACACGTATACCTGCTTGTATATAACAAACCAAGTCGTTCCCTTTTAAACCAACTTTGGTTCCATCATGTAAATTTTTATTTTCTTTTTCCTGCGAGAAGAGACCTCTCATGTCTTGGATCAGGTTGCCTTTGCCCACCATTTTCTGGCATCTTCAAATGCCAGATTAAACAGTGCGTTTAGTCGCACGCAAGTCTTGTGTGACGACTGCTTATTATTGATTTTACAACGGTCGCATATTTTGTGGGTCTTAAATTGCAGGCAAATAGAAGCTCTCGGGTTAATGGAGTCGGCACGCCCCGGATAGTGCAGGAAAGCGGCGTGATTCCGAGCCGGGTCAGCTCCAAAAGGTGGACCTATTAACACGTACGAGTGAGGCAAATAAAGTAGACACCTATTGCAAGATCTAGAATGTTTAACTTTGACCGACGGCTGGGTTTATATTGTTTTCTTCATTATCTTTTACCTACTTCTAAACGATTTCAAAAGACTTCCACGCCCGCACACCGCAGAACATCCCTCACACTCTTGTTACTGCCACTATCACTCATAAACAATCCACGGACGGTTTCCAGGTGCCATTATGGGACCTATCAAGCACAAAGCCCTAATCAACGTTGATCTGGGAGAGGGCTTTGGAAATTGGACAATCACTTCCGATGAAGACTTGCTTCCATTCATTGACCATGCCAATATTGCTTGCGGATTCCATGCTTCGTATGTCTTTCTATTTTCCCTCTGTCAGACTCCCACAATCGGAACGGTCGATCGCTCGCTAGAAATATTACGCGAAACAATCTCACCAGCATGGTAGCTTTGGCTCACACGTCTTTCTTCTGGTAGTGACCCCCTCATCATGATGGAAACCGTTCGCAGCTGCAAGGAACACGGCGTGAAGATTGGAGCACATCCCGGCCTGCCAGATCTCCAGGGCTTTGGCCGTCGTGAAATGAAACTTTCACTGGATGAACTTACTGCAAACACTGTTTACCAGATTGGTGCACTCAAGGGGTTCTTAGACCGGGAGGAAGTCCCCCTTCACCACGTCAAGCCCCACGGGTCGCTCTATGGGATGTGCTGCAGAGACTATGAGACTTCGATGGCCGTATTTAAGGCCATCCCCAAGGGTGTCAAAGTGTTTGGGCTTCCTGGTACTTGTATGGAACAAGCCGCCAAAGATTTAGGACTCGAGTTCGTCGCGGAGTTTTATGCGGATGTCAAGTACAATGCAGATGCTTCTCTCTTGATCGAGCGCAAAAAGAAGTAAGTGCTTTATTCTTATTTTTGCTTCCCCTGATATCTAATGTTGTCTTTGTTTTCACTGCTGTAGGGCTTGGGATCTTGCTGAGGTCGGAAGACGTGTCACACAGCAGATGGAAACATGTACTGCTTTTGCGATCGATGGATCAACCTGTGACCTGCCCGTCAAGGATCACCCTATCTCTATTTGTTGTCATTCCGACGTTCCTGGGTGTCTGGAGTTGGTGAAGGAGACAAGAGGTGTTGTCGACACCTTTAACAAGGCTCACTTTCCTAACAACTAGATATATACATAAATGAATGGTCAATGGATTAAACAAATTTGTGATCGTTATACTTGTATTATGTTATCCTGACAACCATATTTCTGTTAATGTCATCTATCATTCTGTTCCGAGCTCTTTTTTTCAGTCACGATACGCCAACTGGTGTAAACCATACTGAACGTCCACGGGTACCCCAAATACCCCAACAAAAGTCACCCCAAATGGCCCCAAGTGAATCCGATTGGCTACACCTCAGATAGCGGGAAACGTCGTTTGGAGTCGAACCGAAAGAAGATGGAATCCGATTGAACGGCTCTGTCTTAGCTCGCATCTTATCAATTAAACTCTTGATATCAAAATGACTCCAATTCACTAACAACTCCTTGCTCGGCCAACGGGACCCATATTTATGGTGATAATATCAAGTAGAAAGGGAATTAGATCAGCCATGCATTGCGGGGTATCACTTGGCGGCTTTCACTCGCAGCAATATATTCAAGTCCCTGTTAGATTTCTACCCCAAAAAACCGCGATCGGTTGGATAGGATATTTTTATCCCCGTTCTCAAGCCGTGTATGATAAGCCATTTTCAGAAGCCTTCGTGATTAACTGAACTCTGAATTCATAACGGACTTGGAGTAGTCAGATAAGAAACACGCATTAAAATACCCAATTTCTTTGTTTTTCAATTGAAACTCAAGCTTATACATTGGTTATCCTAATCGATAAACTTCAGACTAGAGGATTCTGTAAATATTTTGGGGTATGCACAACCCTTATATATCTCCGGCCTGCAGTATCACTAATTCTTCTACCATAGGATTCAAATCACCACTTTGACTGAGGGTCTCTAAAGTTGGACTCCGGTGGTACTATCAAACGAACTCCCGCAGCAAGATAAATACTGAGTATTTTGAATTGCCTCCGCCCAACAGCAAAAATGGACGATTCTTTTCCCATCCCCGGAACGGTCCAGCAGGTGGATGTAGACCACACCCTGCCCCTCAGACATAATAAAGAGCAACAAGACATCGTCCTGATTCCTCGCCCAAGCTCTCATCCCGATGACCCTCTGAATTGGTCCCGCTACCGCAAATTTCTGAGCAGCACCTGTCAAATGTCCTGGTGCTTCTTCGCCGCAGCCCTCATTAGCGGTCTGTCCTCCTCCTATCTCCTGATCTCGGATGACACAGGGATTTCTGTGGCAGATCTCAGCACAGGAAATGGCCTCATGTATCTCTTCATGGGCTGGGGTACCTTGTTGACCCAAAACCTTGCGCAGGACTTTGGTCGTCGACCAGTCTTCCTAGTTGGCATGCTGGGGGCATCGCTGTTGCAGATCTGGTCTGCATATATAACGTCGGTGGGCGAATGGTACGCCAATCGAATTCTTCTTGGCATTTTTGTTTCACCCCAAGAAGCCTTGATCGAGCTCTGTATTGCGGATATCCACTTTGCCCATGATCGAGGCTTCCACATGGGGATTTATAATTGGACTTTGTGGTGCGGTGCGTTCCTGTCACCCATCGCTGGTGGCTTTGTTGCTGAGAGGTTTGGCTGGAGATGGATCCAATACATCCTGGCCATTATCTGTCTCTGTTTCACAATTGCAACGTTCTTTGTTTTTGAAGAGACGATGTTCTTCCGCCAAGTGAATATTCAAGAACCGATATTTTCCACTCCAAAAGACACTAGTACTCTGAAGTCCTCGTGTGACACCGATGGCAAGATGGAGTCAGAATCTAAGGAGCCAGAGAGTTCCGGTTTCACTCCCGTCGTTGTTGAAGAGAGTTACCAAGTTAACACATACGCCCAGAAGCTGAAATTATGGGGATTCAGACATCCTTCTCAGCCATTCAACTTCTTTCGGTCAATCACTCTTTCCTTCCGACTTCTATGCTTCCCCACAATCATCTTTTCCGGCCTTCTAGTTGGAAGTATTCTCGCCTGGTACAATGTTTTAGGCGGCTCCTTAGCGGAAGTTCTGGGCGGTGCGCCCTATAACTTTAGCACCGAGGCGATCGGCCTCACCTACTTCGCAAGTGTGATAGGAGTTTCGATTGGGTGTTACTTCAGCGGTTGGCTCAGTGATATCCTTGCAATCAGGCTGGCCAGAAGAAGAAATGGTATTAAGGAACCCGAAGACCGTCTCTGGATGTTCTTAATCCCCGTGCTCGCTCATCCTCTGGGGTGTCTTCTTTATGGTGTTGGAGCAAGCCACCACATTCCATGGATTGGAGTTGTCATTGGAATGGCCTTAATCTGCATCACTCTACCGATGGGATCTGGCCTAGCCATTACCTACATCATTGACAGTCAAAAGGAACTGGCGGGAGAGTCGATTGTGACTGTTATTTTGATCCGTAACACAATCGGTGGGTTGCAATACCTCTGCAGATCAATCAAGGGTTTTTTTAATGTGAGCTGACAATAATTTGCTAGGTTTCGCTTTTGCATATGCGGTCAATCCTATGATTACGAACATGGGGTTGCAGAATACCTTTATTCTGATAGCAGTGCTGGGAATGGTTTTCTGGAGTGGCTGTTTGCTATGGATTAAAATTGGAAAAGCGGCTCGGACATCCATTGCCAAATCCTACTGGAATCTAGTTGAGAGCCATGGGCTTGCTGCTCACTGAGCTTCCCTTTTGATACTTTTGGGGGAGGATATCATCTCTTGAGCCTCTGTATAAAGTGGCATAATGTACATTTATTTTTCAATTTAAATTCGACAATGAAACAGCCGAGGTTCTTAGTTCTTATAGGCAGGCCGTTACCTTTGCCTTCGAGTCCCGAGGTAGTCATAAGCTCCGTGTTATGAGACCGTGTTATGAGATCGTCTTCCTTTACCCTTAACATCCTCCGGCTATAATATTTAGTCTCGCTACTATAAGTATTACGTCACATGATTTCCAATCTCATATTGTACCGTAATCTTTATGCCCCTTAATATGCTAAGGTGACTACACTCACACCAGAAACAAGAAACATACTTTGATCCCGTACCTCGGCCCTGCCGTATCTTGTGATACATGCCGGCCTCGCTTATGAGTACTCCTCTCTTTTTATCAGAGAAAAGAGTGAAGTTATGATACTGAGAAATGGAGGGATTATGTAGAGCAAAAAAACGAAAACAAAAACATACAACAGTGAGGATTCGCTGGTGGTCACCCACCCAACTACTAACTCACCGGCGTGTGGCTTAAGTACGGCTGAGCGGACGGGAAGCCCTGTTTTCCACACCCTATGGTCGTATGTATCATGTTATGGATGAGAAGGAATTATACAATGTAAAGGGTTAAGGTGGTGGTGAGTGGGTGATGGGATAGAAGGGTGAGTGCGCTATAGATAGGTTGAACTGTTGTGCCTAATATTGATCATCTAGGCTCCTAGCCTACCCCTAGGTAGTATATGTTCAGCTTTAAATACTCTATACGGAGGAATCTCCGTCAGACAGCAGGGAACAACGGAACAATTTTGCAGACCACAGCTAATTTAGGGCGTTGTCAAGAGAAGATCAAAGGTAATAGAGCGTCTATTATTCTATAATAATTCCATGCATCATATGGCGAATCACATACACTTGTGTGGTCATCAAAACTTTAATGTGAGGAGGAAGGTGACCAACCGCGACGAGTAGACAGGACATGGTTGTAACCGATCACGGTGCCATGACGAGAAGAGGGGTACCGAAAAAGGATGCAAGGAGACCCCGTCCACGGTCGCGGGGCCACCCTCAGAAATCCAATTCTCGAATTCAGGCGAGCTCACCAGATTCGACTGACCCAGCTCGATTGCATCAAGCGGCGCTGTCGTAACAGTATCGCCCTCAGGCGTGTTAACACCAGGCGCCTTGGCGCTGTAGGTGCAGAGAACTATGGCACTAGCCAACAAGCCAGCAGGTCCTAGTACGTTGCACAGACGTTGATCGTTTGGTTTGTAGAGTCTGCTCTCACGCTCATAGATACGCCTCAATTGAGCGGCGTGGTAGACCGCCTCGCGACCGTCGGGAGATCGGGCCCAGATACTGATAACATTTTCGATGTTGGCTTCCTGGCAACCCGAGCAGCATTTCTTGTGCTCGAGCAACCGGAGGTTGGCATAGAGCTTGAGGCAGAGAAGGTGGTACAGGGTAAGGTCGAGACCGAGGAAATGGTTACAGTCGCTTAAACATTCTCCAAAGAGGGCTTCTTCCAGCTTGTCGGTATGTTCAATGTGGATTCGCCAGTCCTGCAGATATCCTTTCCAGAGCTTGACTCGGTCTGCTGTGCGGTTCAATTCGGGTGAGCGGTAGTGTCGATGATGTTCCTCGTGGGCCTCTTTAGAAACCCCCCATAGCTCCGACAAGAACGCACAGAGACTGAAGTGATTATCCTCCAAGGACAGTTGAGGCATTCGAAGATACCCAGTCATAAACCCCCGCGACTCCAGTCCGTCGCGAACCATTGTGGAAAATGCACTTTTGGTCCGTCCTGCCGGTTCATACCAGTGCAAGTTTGTTCTGTCCGCCCTGGTCTCTGCTCGCCATAGATCGTCTGACACGGGAAGCGGTGGTCCGAATTCTTGGTAACGCATGGTAGGGGGGCGATCGAGAATAATGCATAAATAGGTATCAATGCGTAAAATCGCGTATACCAGCCTAATGAGGTATTAGAAAGTGTGTGGTTGTAGATATGAGGAAAAGCCCGGGGTGTACCGTTTCATCTCCTCGGCTTGGACCCATCGATCGTCAGCGGAATGTACGTGTTCTTCCGGGTGCCAGCGATCATCCAAGACACCGAGCCGTCGCAAAGTGAAGATTGCAATGTCGGTCCACTGTGCTGCCCAGTTCAAACTAGATGCAGGTGCCTTGGACTATTAGTTAACCTGTTCCCGTTTTCTGGCTATCGAGGAAGAAACCCTACATCTCCGAGAATCGCATAGATTAAGGTGATGACCAATGCTTGTAGAGTTGGTAATGGTATGTCAGTTGTTGGGTCTGCTGTCACGGCTTGTTCCGTCTATTCCAATATTAATATTTCCGTACTGCGAAGCTTGGTCCACCATGGAAGCGGCACTCACTATCTTAGGCATTAGTGCCCGTGTGAGTTCCTGGTTAATTGCGCACGGAACCAGATGGTGATGGTTAACGTTTTGCATCGACATCAATAGGTTGGCTAACGCACTTGTCAACAGATTAGTCTGCTTTTCGGGTGCAAAAGTGGGAATGTGTAAAAATGGCCACGCTTGATGGAAATGTTCGAAGTCAATAGATTTGACCTGTGAAGTAACGAACTGGACTTGGCTCGTAATGGCCTCGTGCGGCTGCAACCACCCGCTGGATGATGCTGGGGGAGATATCTCGGGGCCAGTCATTCTGGGTATTGAAGTAGCTGTGTTTGCTAAATTTGATCAGAGTCGTTCTTAAATGTAATAGCTTGTAGCTTCCACTCACTTGAAAAGCTGCAACTGAGGGTAAAGGTCGGTACATCGCTCATGAATATTTCAGACGATTGATCTGTACCGAAGTGATCTCTGGTTTCTGAAGGTTGCCGTACTAGGGGGTCAAATTGAAAGCTCGTAATGTCCAATGTCTCGCCGTAGTACAAAGGAGGAGTTGTGTTCGGGGTGGATGTGGTTGTGTCGATCCCGGACTTCATGCCCATTAATAGATCGGTTAGCGGTCGCAGGGGGTCTTGATCTGCCTCCAGATTTCTCGAGGCAGGAGAAATATTGGCAACACTGTTGCTTGCACTTCTGTTCATCGGTGGATTCCAATCTAGTTGCATGGGGGGTATATCCTCTGGAATTGGCATGATCGGATTTCTAGCCCCCTCGTGGACTACTTCCTCTGTAGGTTCCATTGACCTCTCCTCCTCCCCCAGGGAACCCTTGCGGATCGATCGCGTGGCAGGGATGGATATCTGCATATCAGATGGTCCACGCACGCAGGGTTCCCCGCTGTCGGCACATGTGGAACAGGGGTAGTTCGAATCACACTTTGTTTTACGACGGCGACACGTTTGGCATGCTAACGGTGTTCTTTTTGCGTCCTCTGGAGGTAACTTATGCTGGAGCAGGTGTCGGTTCAAAATGTCACTGTTGGATCGATCAGCCGATCGTTTTCTACAGCCAACACGGCAAGAGAGCAGCGAGCGGCTCTTACCTCCTGGAAAAGCTTCGCCCACAGAGGAAGCATTTATGTCGACGCGAGCTTGTATGTGTGACCAGATGGCGATTGAGATGCTCTTTTCGTAGAAAGGATTTACGACAGTCGGGATCAGTGCAGACAAAGGGACCTGACGAGGCGGCGGGGGCTCGACGGGAAGGTGAAAATGCCATGTTCTTCTCGGACAAAGTCGATCAAGGCGATCAAGGCGATCAAAGGCGATAATGAGTGGATTAAGGATTAATACACTTCCCCGGTGTAGAGGGAGTTGGCGCGGGGGGGGGGGGGAAACCCAGGAGACAAACAGTGCTAGCACCAGGGGGGGAGATTCAAGGGGGAGATTCAAGGTCTTAAAAACAAAGATCGTGATTGTGGGCAGTCTCTACCTCGGAAGACCGAGTACAACCTCAATAACCCACTCTATGGCAGAAATATGCAGGCATAGAGATGTCGGAAGATACCCGTGGACGATCTGCAGACGGACTCCCCTGGAAATTGGCCCCCAATCCTACAGGTTGCTCCACACAAAGGGAAAGAACGACGCGCCAAGCACACACAATTATCCGATTGTTGAAGATTTTTCGTCAAGAGTAGCCTGATTCTTAGATCCAACAAGCTCCAAGGCCCGTGTGAGTGGTGGAGCTGGGTAGATACATGTGTATGATGCAGCGTCCATATGCGGGTGATGTAAGACCACTATATTGTTCTTGCCTTCTCTACTCCTCTCCTCTCCTCTTAGATTCCTTATCTGGTTTTTGTTTCTTCGGATAGCAACTCAAGCTTCGTTTCGTTGCTCCTTTTCTCTCTAGATATGGCGCTCCCCGAAGATTTCCCTTATCTACGACCTCGCGCCGTCAAGCTACCTACAAGCGCCAGGTTCCTGCATCTCCGAGGCCGTTAATCTATGGTCGAATCCAAGGATTCCAATCCTTTCAACCAATTACGGCCGATGGCAACCCCAACTTAACGAATTGCCTCCTTTTTTTAATGCGCTTTCGGCTACATTCGTATCCACGGTGACCAATAGAGAAGAGCGCACACCTTCGCCGTAAATGACACGTGCGCTGGTAGCTGACTGCACATAGACTTGGGTTGTGGCTATGCTCTGTCTTGACACTAACGTGCATATGCAACTAAGCGACGCCAAGGTCCACGGGAGGTTGGGTCCTCCCGGAGATATATTGTTTGGAGAGCCCTGCTACCTATTTCTCGCCTGCTGAAGCCCACGTGTGTTTTTTTCTTCGTTTCGAAAACCACCCATGTGAACCTTGTAGCATGACACAGATATTAGTGCCCTTGTGCGTCGCGCGGTAACATCGCTGTGAGATTGACACCCGTGGAGGGCTTATCACGGAGAGAAATGGTCCGTGCGCGCGAACTAGGCCTAGACATCACGGACAGCGTCGGCTGCAGGCAGCAACTTTATGTTGCCTTGTACCTCAGGCATCAACGCCTTTCTGTAACTAGTTACTTGGGTCTTGACACGACCCTACATATTCATCTCGCAAAATGGTCTATCTGTGCAGCCTATTGATTACATATGGTACATAGAGCTACACATATCGGCCAACTTTGTTCTTTCCTCCACGTGACTTACCCTTAAAGGCCTCTTCGATCTCCCCAAATGTCCGACCTTTTGTTTCATGCATGAAGATGACGCCAACAACGACAGTAATAACACAACATCCACCGAACAAAAAGTACGCACCGAAGCTGCTCTTGGCAAGGAGAACAGGTGTCGTCAAAGCCACTAAGAAGTTGCAGACCCAGTTGCTCGAATGTGCCAATGTGGTAGCCGATGCTCGTGTTCGCTGGGGCTGAATCTCGGCGCTATACACTTTGACGGAGATACCCCAGGTGACAGAGTAAAGAGCGGAAAAAAGGTAGATGCAGACGATCACAACCCAGCGACCGGCACCAGTAGTTTTGTGGACGGCATTTCCAGCATAAAGACTGCCCATCAAGAACATCAAGACCCCCATTACAACCCCGCCATAGATAATACTGCTTCGGCGGCCCCATTTATCGGCATAAATTAGCCCCGGGATGGTAACAGCGAAGATCACAAGCGCTGAAACACCAGAGGCCAGAAAGCTTGCTTCCGAAGAGGCAAGACCGGCCTTTTGAAATAACTGTGGAGCATACTATCGAGTTCAGGTCAGCTACTGGCAGTTGTACCGAGGCATGGGTAGGATTTGAGCGTACATAAAGGACGCCATCAATGCCACTCATCTGCTGCATGCCCATCAAAAAGACTGCAAGGATGGTCCGGCCCAAGACATCTTTGGAGAAGATAGCAAGAAGCTTATCCATAGTTCCATATTTAACCTTCTCAGTATCCGAGCCAACTTCCTGTGCCCGCACTTGCAGCACAACCTTCTCACGCTCTGCGCGGCTGACGCCCAATTTGTCCCACGCCTCTTCGGCCATTTCATAGTGACCATGAAGTCCTAGCCACTGAGGCGACTCTGGTAAATAAAGAAGTGAAAGTCCACATAGGATCATAGAGAAGACGGCAAGAAGGATAAACGGCATGCGCCATGAGAGTGACGAGTGAAGGCTCGAGGTTCCATAACTGATGAAGTACCCCATAACCAATCCTAGGGTAGTGGCCAGTTGAGGGCCAGTTGTCAGGGCGCCTCTGGTGCTAGTTGGTGAAATTTCACAAATCAGGACGACAAGATTCCCAAGGAAAAGCCCTTCCCCAAGGCCTTCCACGACACGGCCAACAATGAACATGGATAGGGCGACAGCCCCAGCTTCTATTGCAGCTCCCACACCGAAGATAAAAACACCGATGCAGATTCCCTTAGGGCGACCAAGCCGATCGGCGACATGGCCCGCGAAGAAAGAAGAGAGTGCTGCTGGAATCAAGATGCATGAGACGATGAGGCCGTGGATCGTGGAGTTTTGACTACCAAATGACTTTTTGAAGTCCTTCATGTCGGTCACCGGGCCGATAATACCCGTATCCATCCCGAAGAGCATTCCATTTGCTGAGCATAGAATGCATGCTAGCATATATTTCGGCGGATTTTTGAACTGCAGGGGAATTAATCCCATTACTTCGGCTTTGGGATTTGCACGACAGATCCGAGAAGATATTATTCAAGAGCTCGGTTGTTGAAAGTGCGAAGAAAGTCCTTGCAAAAATAATAAGACGAAAAGAAAACTCTTACCCCTCTAAGATTTTTGCTTCCCAATGCCCAGACCCACGTAGGGCAGTCATTATTACTATGTATCCGGTACATCATACGGAGTACAATGTTCCCTTCTATGGACCTAGTTAGTAGATTAAACTGCAATCATTTCTGACTCATTCTATGTAGTATAATTCCCTCTTGTTCTTGCAAAATTTGGTTGGTTGTTGAAACTAAGAGGTATATTGTTCCACACACACACACAAAAATTAGTGCCAAAAGACTGGACATCGGAGAAGGGTCCTCCGGCGAGATTGTATTTGTCCTCTTCACGGGCCGAATCGACGTGTGAGAGGAACGAGCGCCGAACGTTTTGTGGGCCGTCTTCCCATTACTATCTCGGGGTATCTCCTGGGGGTTTCCCCTCGTTTGTGAATTTTTTTATGGGGCTTCTGGGGTTTAACCGGTCATTTTTATGGGGCTTGTGAGATTGATTCAAAGGCATGTCGGCTTTTCAAGCGGATGCCAAGCCGGGCCCGGTTAAAGGTTTGGTTAACATATCCGCGGTGGAATTGTGACAACATATTTTGCATATACATTAACACTAGTACCCCGACAGGAAATCTAGTCTTCTTACCTACTTTGGCTCATTAACGTTTCCATAGGGTCCTCTGAGTCCGAAGAAAGCAAAGACAGTTTGCTTACCGATAACAGATCACCAATGTTCGTACTGCCATCTGGAGCTAGCATCCTTCCACCTCGACCGCTCCTGAGATCTTCGATTTTACGACGACCACTCATATACAAAGTATTACTGATTGCCGCATAGACTGCCAGTAGTGCTAGATCAGGAAGGGAACAGGCTGTCTGTGGCTTGTGAACTGAATGATAATATTCACTGGTAACATGTACCCGATCAGGGTAGTAAATCCAGGAAATATCTTGACTTTGTATCGATGAATAGTCCTAGTAGCCTCAAGAACGAAAAACTCTCCAAACTCGAGAAAAAATACGGGGTTGTTCATTATGTCAAGCAACAAAGCTGGCCTCCCTTTGTTGCCATGAGGCTTTGTTGTTCCCACGCTGAGATCAATGACAACTCCGTCCATAGAACTTGAACAATAGCCTTTGTCCTTTGTCCCTGTATTTGTTCTTTGAATAGAATCGAATAAATGCCGACTCGCATAGCATAAATACTGTTGGTGCCCCCTTTTCGAGTTCTCACCACACAAGCATTTGAATTAACTTCCATATCATCCAAATGCTTCAATCAGCCCTTTACCGGATCCTGCGAATTTTCTTCGTTACCCTTGACTTCTGGTTCAACACCGATCCCCCAATAAGCCGAGTCCAAAGGAGCGGTAAGCCCTCAGAATCAACTCCACTTAATATCCTGACTTCTTCGCCTGGTGTCAAGGAAATCGAAATGTCATCTTCTGACCTAACCCAATTGGAAACCTGGGAGGAAATCTACAAAGCGGAGTGCCTTAGTTTTAAGGCTAGTCTTGAGACCCAAGCTCAGATCCTGAGAAATGATCCGGAAAGTCAAGGAGTAGATCGTATCGAGGATGTTCGCAAAGAGCTAATCTCACTTTCCCATCAGACAGAGCGAATCAAAGAGGCTGCATTTGAAATGGTCGACGAGACCCCGGACAGTGTATATGTGCGCAATGCAACTCCCGGGTGGCTCTCTTCCCGATTTGGAGATCCACAGCTAGAACAGGTATGTATTAGCATGGAATACAGCTTGGACCGATTGGCGTTTGAACTTAGATTCGACCCGTCAATGGACCTTATGGTCGCCGGGCACCTTGAGCAAATGACCGACGATATTGAAATGGACTTTCTTTAGATAGTGCTAATGCACCTAGTTATTAATTCATTTGAGATCTGTAATAGATCTTTCAACTTGTATTACTAAATAAGAAACGTCGCCCCTTGTGCGGCGTTTACAACATTCCGATGTCTTTTTCAGTGTCTTTCAGATATTTTTTTGATATGCTTCTTAAGATGTTTTCATAGCTGCGTCATACTGAGGCCACAACAGCCATAATAGTACTAGTAGTTTGGAAGCTTCAGGCGTCCGGCTAATGTAACAATTAAGTAGATAGCTCTCTCCTCTCCTCTCTCTTTCCTCTCTCTTTCCTCTCTCTCTTCTCTTGTTTCATTATCATTCATCTCTCTTTCATCTCTCACTCACACCCACCAATCTTTCTTTTATCTGTCTCTACCATTTCTACAGAGTATCGGCTTCTCTTTTTTACTACATAGTGAGGATCACTAGCCCGCATACTCTACATCAGGGCCCCACAGTGGGACTGAACTAACCAACCACAGCCAATTACCACCCAGCCTCTGATATTGCGGGGCAGGCCCTAACCAATCACAAAAAAACTCCTTCCGCCATCCGATCATTGGCAATGGCGACCGACGAGGATACCGACCATCGAGCCGGTGACACCAAACCCGACTCCGAAACCACCAACACTGGCCAACTAGCCAGCCCTCCAAACCTCCAGGATATCGATGACGACAACGTCGATTCCAAAGATGACAAGGTCGATATCACGAACGGCCTCCGCGATGGTGCAGATGTGGGTGCACCAGAAACGCAAGGGTCTGACCTACGAAAGTTGACCCAAGTCATAATTACGAACGTGCCTCAACTGAAGCACAACTCGAAAAACCCCGAAAGATGGGTCCTTCGAGTGAAACTTGCACTGGCACAACTCCGACTGCAACACTTGATCAACAGCAGTGTGCCCCGGCCAGCCAGAGGCCAACACAACTTCAACAGATGGGTACAATGGTCTCGTACTGTGGCCAGATGGCTATATCTCCAGGTTGATGGGACCATCCAGGAGAAACTCCAGCGTCTCCGCAAGGTACCTAGCACAGCGGATGCTTTATTCGACAACATCATGAAGATGGTTCGAGAAAGCGACAAGGCTGTGAATGCCCGACCCGGAACCCACAATTACGACAGCCGAAAGAAATCGGATGTTGAGACTGTGAGAAAGTACATCGCGACACACCAACCCAGTACCACTTGCTCGGTTTGACCCTACTCCCCACCTCTTCTTTGCGCTACCGACGTCATACCCATCAGCTATATCGTTGAGTTTTGTTGGGTGGTATAAGGCCCCCCGTCGGGTCAGCACCTTATACACTTGGGGAGAGTACTCTTCCCTTCCATCTCCTCTCTTTCTATCTCTTTCTATCTCCCTCCCTCCGCTCCGCTCCATGGTGAATGTACACATCCGTTCTCTCCATAGAACTTTACCATTGAGTAGCATTCCCTTGAGCTTCAATAGAGAGAAATATTTCCAAATAGGCCGACTTCCATGACCCTTCTTCAAGTCCTACTACTCTAGTAATATCACGAGGAACACTCGCAAGAGCTTACACGTGTTTTCCCATGTGAATTAACCGCCCAATGACATTGTTAATAGCAGATAAAATGTGTCGTATCTAGAAATCAAGGAAACAAGTTTTCAAAAATAAACTGCCATTCTGCTGTAGAATTCTACCTAGTTTCCTCCACTCTTCGTTCTTTCATTTTTAGTAACCATGAAAACCACGGCAGAATTCATCATCCAAAAATCATTAATGAGCGTATACAGTTCGTGTCGTCATGCAAACCATGTCTTTCCTCCAACTAAGCCAAATTCCCAATACAAAATCATTTCCTCCAAGTCCGAAAACAAATCAATCCCACTTTGGATTTGGCGCGTATCAAATTTACTCCTGCTGACCAGCGACAGCCTTGGTGTCCTTGTTCTGATCCTGGTTCTGTCCGTTGACGGGGTAGTTCTGGTAAGAACCGTAGTTCTTGTAGTTACCGTAGCTCTGATACTTGCTGTTCTGGGAGCTGGGAGTAACCTGAGCGTTGTTGGCGGAGTTCACGTTGTTGTAATCGTTGCGGTTGTTGTCATTGTTCTGGTCATTGTCGGCCTCACGCCAGCTACGGCGGTGGAGAGTGTTGACTTCTTTGTTATCGCCAGCTTCGTTCACACGGCGCTTCTCGTTTGCGTGCCATTGGCCTTTTTCGTCAGTCCAGCCGTTCTGGTCGTTCTGGTTGTTGGCATGCCACTGGCCATTGGCATCGGTCCAGCCATTTTTGTTGTTTTGTTGACCGTTCTGGTTGTTGTCCCGCCATTGGCCATTCTGCTCAACCTGGCCGTTCTCGTTGTTCGCATGCCACTGACCTTTGGCATCAGTCCAGCCATTCTGGTTGTTGTTGTCGTGCCACTGGCCATTCTGGTCAACCTGGCCGTTCTGATTGTTTTGGTTGTAGCGGTCATCACCGTTGTTGGCAACGAACACGCCGTGCTGCCACTGACCCTTTCGGTACTGTCCACTGGGGTCCCACTGGCCGGCCACGTCGTTGGGGTCCACGGGAAGCGCGAGGACAGACAGAGGGGAGACAGCCACAAAAAGGAGGCTGTTGAGGATGGAGTAGCGCATCTTGAAGGGACGTCAACTCAAAGAGATTGAAACGAAGTATAGACAATTGTTGCTTTCGGGAATGTTGTTGCGATCCTGAGGTTCTCGAGATTGTTTTGTGTTGAGAATTATGATTGAAGCCCTGTTGGTCTGCCTGTATTTATATCTAAGAAATTCTAGCTCCAAGCTCGAGAATTATGTTGCTCGAAATAGCTGCTCAATAGCGTTGGGAGCCTTTGACAAGAATGTCTGAGGTCGGCTCACGCCATTCCTCGGTGAGGTTTGATGGAGACCGACGCTGCAAGGGACACCGGGAAACGTGTGGTCGATAACCATATTACCTTGCGGGGAATAAGCGAGCGGATGCACGATGATCTCAGTCGGCAGTAAAAGATGGAGTAAAACACGTAATACAAACTGTACCAATAAAGATTAAACTTCTCTGGGTAGATCATTGAAGAGTTGCATGATGAACCTCGCGTGAATCTGTACGAAACCTGTAGATCCTGTCCGCAAGGGGAGTAGTCACATTCCTCGAAGATCATCCGCGGTCAAATGCTGATCTTGTCTGGCCAGATGTACAAGACACACTTGCGCCATCTCAATGCATATGATGTTGTCTTCCATGTAGTTGACAACCCTTGAGGCAATTCTCACGTTGCCCATACACCACGCGTTGGGAGGCCCATGGGATGGCAAAACGTGCGAGACATGCAAGGGACACGTTGCTTTGATCAGCAATGGCTATGAGCTTCAATCTGATGTCAGTGTCGAAGTTGGGGCAAATCCACTGCGTGAAGTTGCGGTCTGGAGTTGGCGTCTCATCATTACAGAAGCCAGGGCTGCTATTGCCCCTTGAATGATCGAAAATCTATTTGGCGCAGTTTCGTTCTGCAAATCATTCAGAAAACTACCCCCAACTCTCAAAATGGACTGTATGTTCGACAAAAATTCCCATGGAGAGGTTTCCAGACGAGAGTCCAGTGAACGACTTCTCGCAGAGGAAGAAGGCACTCTCTGGAGTGGAAAGGAAACACCAACACCCACATGTAACAGCTTTGCAGCATGTCTCTTGCAGCTGAGTGCACTTGTGTCAGTATTCTTAGTCGGGACTCTATTCGGCTTTCACTGGCGTGGTGACCTGAATGGCCTTTGCAATCGACACGTTTCTCAATATTGTGAGGGTTCCAATCTTCTGTCGTGCAACTCTTTAATCTGATTAAGATACAGCAACCGTCATGAAGGAAGTTGGCATTCGATATAGCCTGCAAGAATTCAATGGCTCTCTCCTCAAAGAGAATGTTTTCCGACAAGATGCTGGCCCGGATGTTGATGCAGCATGGGACTCTCTAGGCGTCAACTGTGTGTCTCTAAACTGGTTAACTGCTACCTTGCATGCACTGATCATGATTTTCATCTCCAGACCGCGGTGTTCGAATACCACCAGAAGACGCCGAACAATCTGGACTTGCTACCGACCAAGTCAAGATCAATGCGAAGTATGGGGGAGGATTTCCTGCAAATGTTGAGGGCTTGCACCACCTTCACTGTCTGGTTAGTGGTCCATACTCCATCCCCATGCTGCGAATAAAGTATACTAACACCGACAAGAATCTCCTTCGTCAGTCACTCTATTATAACTACGACTACTACCACGCAAAGGGGGAAGGGCCCTTCACGAACAATGACTATATCGTCCGCCACCACGTGTGTATGTTTTCTTCCATCTCCTCTCGCCATAAGACCTTTGACTGATTATATCCCTCAAAGCACATTGCCTCGATATTCTTCGTCAAGAGCTCATGTGTACGGTCGACAGCGGAGTCTTGGGTCAAGTCTGGATCTACCCTGAGAACCCGGAGCCCTATGTTGACTTCAACACTCAGCATCGATGTAAAAACTTCGACGCGGTCCGTCGCTGGGCCGAAAAGAACCAGCTGCCTCAAGATCCCCCTGCGGACTTTTTGCAGCCACCATCACAGGGAGACCGAATTTATAGCCAAATGCCATGAGATATGTCAAATGGAATTTGAGGTAAAGCTTCCTTGGGTAGTCCAACAACATGAAAGAATACGAAGTTACTCAAAAAGAATAGAAGTATCACAATGCGTGATACTCCCTAGCTATACATACATAAAAGAAGTAGTTTTCACAATTTAAGCCTTTTCCCACTTTCGTATATCGTACATATTAGAGTCTACTTCGTGCTATTATTTATTATTTATTTAGAGGCTTATAACCCCGAGAAAAAAGAAATCCTAATAAAAGAGATCCAAAAAAGGCATCCAAAAAGAACATCGAAGTGTTACTTTACATACAACGTCCCTTATATAATTTTGACTAGATAAATCCATGGATCAGATTATTAAACCCCTACGTCTTCAGGGAAAGAGGCCGCATTCGCGGCCGACTACTCTTGTATCCCATAAAACAAAAATCCTCTTGATTCAGTCAAGATTATAAACACTCAAGTCATCACTCATCCCCGGCAAAACATACACAGCATTATCCCCTCCACCAAAAACCTTCAAAGGTCTCACCCCCCTAAACTCCATCCCAATCTTCTCTAGAGCGCCCCGACTCCGCTGATTCACAGGAGAACAGAATCCAAACACAGCATCCACACCAAGAGTCCCATTTGCATACTCCAAAAGACCCTTTGCCGCCTCGGTCGCATACCCCTTGCGACCTTCTTCGGGCAACATGGCAAACCCAATATCTGGGGCAAGATAATGTGGGCCTGGTGGAATCCCCCTCATGAGCGATACAGTGCCGATCAGCTTCATGCCGTCATCGGTCTGTCGCGAGACTAGGAACATGCCATAGCCATGGTAGGCGTAGTGCTCCGAGACTCTGCCTTGAAGGAATGAAAATGCTTTCTCTAGCGTGGTGATTCCGGTTTTCCCACAGGAGCTGATAAAATCGTCTGTATTCCAAAGTTGGACTAAGAAGGCGCAGTGGGTAGGGTCGGTGGGGTTGAAGGGGCTGATTTGGAGACGCGGGGTGGGAATTGTGAAGCCCGGTGGGAAAGAGAACCCTGGCATTGTGGCTTGGTAGTCTGAGGATACCTGATTGAATCTAGAGTGAGAGAGTGGACAACTGATTCCGGATTTTGGTATATTGCCCTCTCTTTTATGGCTGCTTTCATGGGATAGCAGACAACACGATAAAACTGTTCATGAGTCACAGTTTGGAGGCTGAATTCCAAGAAAGCTTAGCGCTGACGGGGTTGAATCTCTTCGGCTGGTCATGCTTGTATATATACCTGAATTGCTATTGACATCCAAAACCACCGCGGTAATCGTCCTCCTTGCCTTGGATAGCCTTAAGTCACTAGCAAGCACAATATTCAGAATGCCGACCAGGCGCAGGTCTCCCTCCCAACACAAAGCATTACTGATTTGATGGCCTCACCAGAAGAAAAAGAAAGAGATAATACTAATAAGAAATAATAGCATCACGAGGAGGCATTTGTCACACAACCTGGTTCATACAGCATTTCGTAAGCACATCACTCGAGAACGGCGGCCACTTATTCCTTCTCTATATTGATATCTTTATGTTGGGAATGACTTCCGACGCTCTCCTTGCACCAATCTCGAGCCTGAAATAAATTTCTGCTCCTCCATGATATAAGCAAGTTGTACGTCAAGTTGAAAGATATTCAGAGATCAAGGTGATCATGTCCGAAAAAGAATAGCAGTTGGGAGACAATAGGGGTTGGAAGACAGCTCGAGGCTCTGAGGCTGGACATTTCCTGTGGTGCTGCACCCGAGTATTCGAGATCGCTTTGGAAGAGAGCACAGTCCCAGCCAACGACTTCATAGATTATCCTTAGTTTAGAACAGAGCTGCGGCCTGGCATTCAATAAGGATAATAGGGTGTGAGAATGCGTTGATCAATGTGGGAGCTGCTGGAGATCATTCTTCCCAATTGAAACCAAAGGGTACATGCAGTTGCAGGGATTAAGCAGGGAGCCATCCATGAGCCGGGCTCCTGTTGGGGTAGTCAATTACGCACCGTGCAAAAAGCTCATATATTCCAGTAACAAGGTGAGATGGTATGCAATTGATTATATTCTCTTATTGTCCCATCTTCATGCCACCATTGGCACATACCACACTGCCAGTACACCAAAGACCATCAGGCGTACACAACATGCCAACAACACCCGCAATCTCACTAGTGAAAGCCGGCCGACGACCACCCATCTTCTCCTGAATCAATCGCTTCTGTTCATCAGTCAAGCGACTCATAGTGTCTTGATCATTCACATCCAACTTGCTCATCGGCGTGTTATCTTGGTACCCTTGGATATCCTTCCAGAACTGCTCTCCGGTGGCAAAGTACATATCACCAACAACCGGGCCGGGGTTAACGGCATTAACAGTCGCACGGTCTGCCAGCTCACGTGCCCAGGTGCGCGTCATCGCCTCAATGGCAGCTTTGGTACCGCCATAAATCGACTGACCCACGAAACCGAGCGACGAGGATACACTAGAGATGCTCACGATGCGGCCGCTTCGGTCGGTTGGGAGGAAGGGGGCGCATGCCTGTGTGAGGAGGAGCGGGGCGAGAACATTGATGGCGTATTGCCAGTTGAAGTGCTCGGCCTCAATGGGGCCCTTGGTGGCGTCGTTCAGGTTCCGGTCTTGCGATACGCCGGCATTATTGATGAGGATGTCGATCTGGAATTTTCCAGAGGTGCTGAAATGTTCTTGTGCGGCGCCGATGATTGCTGTCACGGCTTCGGCGGGCTGGCTCAGATCGGCTTGCACGCTCTCGCATTTGATGTTATGGGTTGTAGCTAAGGAGGAGCACAATGCTTCGGTGGGAGCGCGCGAGGACTCCGAAGTGAAGTTCAGGAGTAGGGAGCAGCCTTTTGCGGCCAGATTGCGGGCAATTGCTTCGCCAATTCCTGTGTAGATGGCGTGTTAACTTGGTCTCTTGGTATGCGGGGGAGGCTGGATTTTACCCCGCGATCCGCCAGTGACGATGCCGAATTTCCCTTCAAGTACTCGAGCCATTTTGGATGTTAATGAAAGAGATGGAGAAAATTAAGAAGATGAGATTGATTAAAGAAGGACATGTCCACCTCTTTAACCTCTGCTTTTATATTTAGCCGATAGATGATCCCCATCCCCACGGAATAAAATTGCCCGTTGGAGAGTGACGGAGGAAATGCGGGAACGCGGCTAAATTCCACATTCGGCCCGAATGGTCTTCAACCGGTCATGGGGTCTGGTTGTTTGTTGTGTTGGCATCATTTGCATCAATTGAATTGTTTTATGGGTTTGATCAATTCAGCAGCTCGGCCCAAATAGGAAGGCGCGTACTGAAATTTCAGGCAGGGGCGGGTCGATCTAGCCGGGGGGGTTCGCTGTAGTCCTCCCCATATAATATCCGCAACAGGAGGCCAGCCCACTTCATGGCGGTATCCTTGCTGATACGTGCGGTCTGGGGAAGACATTGACCGCCCTCACCCTGATTTACCAGGCGGCACTCTGCTAGTCTCGGCCTCCGTACCGCCCTAGCCTTATCCTGGTGCCCTCGGCATTAATTGACATATGGCTCTTGGAGATCGAGAGGCACTTCGGCGACGCGACCGTCCGGGTGTTCTATGGTGTCAAAGCCCGCAACGGCGATTCCGAGCGCAAGCTGCTCATGCTCGAGTCTCTCAATCAGGTTGAAACCTTCCTACGTGACTACCCTATAGACCAAGTCTCCTGGGCCATACCGTCATCCTGTCGTCCTATATCACCTGGGCCGCGCGTACCACGACCGAGGTTGACGAAGACAGCCACCCTACGAACCGTGCCCCAAGTCCGGAGATCGACCTATTGGTCATCGATCTCACTGTTACCGACGCCCTCGTGGATGAAGACATATCTGAACCCGATGACTCGTTTGAGCCATTACCTGTCGGTGAGCCTGGCACATAAGATAGTGCTATATCCTTTCGAAGCGAAGTCTTTTTCTTCTAAGTAACTCGAGCTAGCGAACACAAGGTAAGCAACTTTTATATTGCTTTTCTCGGTCAATATAAGGACTGATACTAATAAGAATAGATGGGAGATCCTCGAAAGCACCGTTCTGGGGCCACCTTCTTGCTACCGACGGCTGGACCGTTAGCAGTGACAGGATCCCAAGTGTATAAATACCACAATGTTCCCTTGCCTTTGTTGAGGAAGAAAGTGTCTGCATGTACGCCGGGTTTTTAAATGCAGGCGAGGCAGTCGATGCCACGGATGATGCCAAAAGAAAAAGAACCATGTCGTGCTGAGACTCAATTTCGAACATACCATCACACACAATACGGTATATGCCTCTTTCCGGATGTGGAATAGGGCCTTGGATTACTACGGGTACCTCGTGTTGCTATGGAAGAACGAGTTTTCTATCCCAGCTGATAGCCCGGCCAAGCACTCTCCTTGATAGCATCCTGGCATTGCTTCAGTGGCATGAGTCATATGCAAGTTCCCAATGTTAAATAGTACAGATGAACGGTCTATACTAATGCGACAAGTGACCTTGGATATATTGCCATGCGTTCCGTTATCCAAAAGAATGCTTCAATCACTGAAGAGACCGACCCGCTTGACATATCGATAATGACTTAATGAAAAGCAGAAACTCAACATCTCCCTCTGAACCCCCCACTATTGATTTTGTCTGAAATAAAATATTGAAACATGTTGATTGATAGTATCAGGCAAGAAACGAAGGGGAAGCAAAGAGATGAAAGATGTGTACTGGAGAAGCAGCATCTGAAGAGACTAAATTATCCAATCAATTACATTGCCCAGGTTGTGGCCTCACCCCGAAGGCCGGAACCACGAGCGTCCCAGCAAAGCTGACACTTCATCCAACTGGAAACTGAAAGGCAAAACCGAGGGTCTCCCAACAACTTTCTCAATGAGATCACTTCAAGTCATCTGTTTAAACTGGACTATACCAATCCACAGGACCATAAGTGACCGCACGGTGAACCATAGATTTTCCTTTACCCGCAACATGCCAATGAACTGTACTAGGGGGGCACCAAATGATATCCCCAGCTTTTGCTCTTCGAGGCTCACAATACACACTCATATTAAAGGTAAGGCGTGCGGCTACACTAAGCTGGTGCTATGGGCTATTAAGACTAACGTTTGTCGGCGATTTAGAACTCCGATAGGCAATTAGATATAAAACCTTTAAGGTTGTCAGGTTATCCTTCTGATAGTTGCAATTCACTACTGTCTTGACTTTTCCCTAGAATGATTCCGCCGTCTGGCTGAACGTCAGCCGGGATAACGGTAGTGACTGCTAAGCATATATAAGGATTGTATAAAGTGATCATACCATTGGTCTATGATCGAACCTTCAACTTTCTATCACCCGAGGGTGCCTATAAAGCAATGGGAGGAGGGGAAGAAATCAAGTAAAAGAAAAAAGGAGCTGTAAGCTAGAACATGGGGTGTCAGGCTCAGGCAAGACACCATAATATAAAGTCACCCCTTGGCCGCCCCAGGCTCACTTTAGGATGACTATTATTCGTCCCATAGCGAAAGGTGTCCATTCAAATGGTAGTCATTCAATCTCACAGCGTGCACATGTTATTCCATAAATCTAACTTAAGTGGCTCAATCCTTTGCATTGTCTCAATTAATTTGATTAAAAAGACAAGTTCAATCAAGCGAAAGTATCTTGGCATCTTCGCCAAGCAATGATACCCAACACTGCATGCCGTATTGGAGATGGAAAACAGCCTGGCCTTTAGTCTTTTCAAGGCTCATTCTAATGACCAATCCATCTTTCAGATTCCCAACAAAGTTTTCAATATCAATACCATCGACGACCATATTGACACCAATATCATAATTCTCCTGGTCCACATAGCCGGAAGCCTGTTCAGGTATCGGTTAGTACGTATTCAGGAGTTTAATGGGTCATCCATATTTTCATAGAACCGCGGAAGAAGTCAACGGGCGGATATCCTTCCTGGTCACGGTAACTGGGCAGTTCGTCGGTGGAGCTAGCCTGATCATTGCTATCATTCTGGATAACATCATAGTCTCCCTCGTCTTGAGAGGTGATTTGGACTACCATTTGATGCACGTTAATGGAAATGCCCTAATAGCCCAGAGATCCCTGTGCTTGAGTATTGGTAAACCACTTACTTCCCATGATGAAGAATCTTTTGTTTGATAAAAAGTATAGTAGCCGTAAAGTGAAAAAAGAAATTGGCAGTCCAACTTTTCGCCGGGAGACTGACTCCGTTTTACACCAAAGATGAAAACACAATTATCCAGCGGCACGCTCATCTTACAAGCAATTGAGACAGTTTCTTGGTCGACATCATGGCGATCAACTACTGGGGCGCTTGGTGACGTGTTTCCAGCTCGTTGGGCGCACCAATTGTCGATTTCTAACTCCGCACCTGAATATGAAGTGCAAGCGTTGATGCTGTCTATATAGCCTTTCTCCAATGATAAAATGCATCATTTCAAGGTGATGACAAAGGTCTGCACACCGCTGTTGATCATCAAAAATCGTGAAATGTCCACAAAAACAACCTCTAGCTGAAGCGGAAGCTCCACAAATTCCGCGGGAACCGTGTGTTGAGTTGTGCATGATGCGCTGGTGTGCGGGTACAAAGACAGTGAAAAGATCCACAGAGCGGGGATTTTCTGTCGCTATCAGCCAAAGCGCGAATAAAATCGGGCGATCATTTCCCAGTTCGACTTTGGGCTTATCTAGGGACGATTGGCGAGATCCAGCCAGCCACAAGATTGTAGGGAAGTCCCGGACAAGTGGCGAGTTAAATCACTGATTGATTTACCTAAGCGTAGACATGAACGCCCATGTTTGCAGCTTGGATCACAGTACAGAGGACGTGCATCGTATTTGATTCGATAGTCCAATGAGTCATTGTGAAATTCTAAAAGCCTACATATATCTGGCCAAATGCTGTAGACAGGTTTCTAAAAGGGGTGGAGAGGAGGGGAGGAGGGGAGATCTGGCGTCAAAATTTGCTGCACCTGCATGGGCGTACTATTGACACGCTGCTATATGCTAGTACTTGTATTTGTAATCACTCTTGGTACCTAGGTAGCTTGAAGAATTCAAGCATTCTCAACAATTCACTCTAGCAAGCAAGAGCTATTTTCCTGAACGGTAGCTTAAGCTTCATCTGCAAATACTTTATCTAAACCACTTTGGGCGCTACCTATATCGTTACCAGACATTCTTTCATCGGACTTGCTATCGCTCTGGTCGTCATTATTATCGCGGCTAGACGAGCCGTAAGACTCTTTTTCCTTGGCCCTGGATGAACCGTAGGAGCCGTAGGAGTGCTAAAGCTTCCAATTAGATGCGTTGTAATAAACAAATAGAATTTTGAAGTTGAAGATAACAGTATTGAAGATCTCATCACAGCGTTGAGGAGCTCATTGCCGCCTTCGTTTTAGTCAGATACACCAGCATAGGCTAGTGAGCAATCTTTGACTGACATCGTTTTCGTTGGAGTGCGACATTGTGCCAACAACCAAAATCAAGTTCAGAATTGGCTTTCCTAAGAACAACAGTAGAATTTGGCATTAAGCCCCCTTCATCCCAGCTAGCTCCAGTAAATCTCGACCAACGCTAGCATGGACTCCATCATACGTGAATGCCACGAAGGGCATCACCCACCATATACACTCGACAGTTCTCTCAACTACGAGTATCCACCCTAAATTGCGGTGAGCTTTGAGCATTCTAAGAAAGGGAGCCTTAATTCTTACCTTCTGCACCACGCGTAGTGTCAGGCTGGACCATCCATTGGCTTCTCACGGATACACCAAACGGTGCATCAGCGTAGGTCTTGACACCGGACTCGGTATTTCGCAACCAGGTCTGGAACCGAATATGTTTCTCGCCCTGTAGACCGATCCATGGTATGATTGTAATCACGCTGCTTAGCATATATGTCTCAATCGGACCCCCAGTCTTAGAGGCAAGAAACAATTCGTCCTCGTATATTGCGGGATCGGTCGGGACCTGGTCTATGCCTATAATCACCGGATTCATTTGAATGAAGCTCAGCTGATCTTGTAGAGCTCGGATAATCGCATTTTGGTCAACGGATTCGGGGATCTTGGTGGTTACAGTGCGGCTGTGGGAGACCCGCCAGTTGACCATCAACAGGGAGGGTATGAAGAGGCATGCCAAAAGTTTGTACTGAACCATGTTAGAGGGCAGAATTTGAAACAGAGATCATGGAAAACTATTGAATCTTTGTGTGTGTTGAGTGCATTCCAAGGTTGGCGGGGGTGTTCGGTCCAAGGAAACAAAGTTCACTAGTGTTTCTTGGGACGATCTAGTTCTAACCAATCATCGCTACCACTTCTTACTAGAGCCCCACTAGATCGGATAATTTGGACCAGTTTGACAAGTACTACATAGTTTCAAGGTTGACAAGTCTACTACATCATTGGACCAGTTTGACAAGTCTACTACATCACAAAATGGACAAAATTATTTATTAAAATCAAAAGAGATATCTAGTGCATCTAACGAGTTAATACGAAAAAAGGGTTGATATATTTCAACAAAAAAATATAAGTTCAGCTGTGGTAGTTAGTCTGCCCAGGGGGAGTTAGTTGCATGTACGGAGTACTCCGTCGTGTGATCAATATTCAGCTCGTCTCGTATTCATTCACATCCACCCTTAAGCCCACATCAGCCGCCCGCTAATACTTGTAAAGCGGTTGACTGAATCTCATTTTCAGCGATCAAAATGTTCCAAACAATTTCCGCTGCCCTATGGAGCCTCTTCGGTTTCCGAGACAATCCGCTTCCCGACATCCCATACGCCTCTTGCTTTCCTACCCTGGGCCTCCTGTCAGAGAGATGGTCCCATGATTTCTATCAAACGTCCATGGGGGCCCTCTTCAACGCAGGTGCGGAGGAGGGTATATCCTGGACGCTTATCGGCGGTGTGCCCTTGGTATACCTTCGAGACCCCGCCTTGATCCGACAGGTGTTTGTCAACAATGCGGAATCTATTAGTCGGTGCGGAACCCAGACTAGAGGTCCCTTTGGAACTGGCAAACGGATCGTCCGCAATGCCCTGATTACCGCAGAGGGCGACGTCGCCCGACATTGGCACGCCGATATGACTCGAGGATTCAATAACAGACCCGCTATGGAGAGGTTTCATTCGAAGCTGATCTCAATTGCGACAGACCACGTCCAAAGACTCCGAGACATCGGTTCGGGTGATAACCTCCAAATCCTCCTACAGGATTTTGCCATGGACGCGGTCTGGTGCCTGGGGCTCGGGTTGGAGAATGCCTCCCAGTGTACAAGGGAATGGCAGGAGCCGTTTACCCAGTATGTGCAGATGGCAGCGAGTCTATCATATCCACTCCAGCACACCGTGATGAATCTTATGTCTGGTCGGGATTTTGCGGAACCGGATTACTACGAGAATGATGTCCATGAAAGGATTGAAAAATGTATCCTCCAGCTTCTGGAGGCCAATTTGGACCTCCTCAACCCGGAGGCTGTGAAATCCCTCGAGCAAATGAACTTCCTCCAGAGGATATCCCACGAGACAGGCGGGAGCACAGCGCAACCCATCACCCCGGATGTTTTGGCCCATGCGAGGCAAATCTTCTCCCACGGGTTTCCCGCCCCCACGCTTCTCCTCGTCTGGGCGCTAAGGGAGCTATCCCTATATCCTGAGGTGAGGCAGAAGCTCCGCGCAGAGCTTCAAGAAAGCGACTGGAACCATCGCCGGGAGCTGCAGCTACTTTCGCAACTTCCTTACCTCAATGCGGTGGTGAACGAACTGCTTCGCCTACACCCCCCGATCCCGACTACGGCCCGAGCCATTGATCGCCCCATCAACATTCAAACTCAATCTGCTAGCTTTTCCATTCCAGTAGAGGCTCGCGTGGCTGTTTCCCTTGCGATGTTACACCAAGACCCTCTTGTCTGGGGTGAGGATGCCTCACGATTTCGACCGGAGCGATGGGACGGACTCCTCCCGAATACGATGGAGACCGAGTGTAAATATTTGCCTTTTCTCACGGGACCCAGGCGGTGTCCGTGTACTGGTTTTATCTTACAGCAGGTCAAAGTATTCCTGGCGGTGCTATTAACGGAGGTGGACTTGGAGGTGACGAATGCGGCCACGGTAGAAAAGAAACTGGGGCCGGTGTCAGAGCCAACGGAACCTCTGACCTTTATTGTCAGCCCTTCTTAGGATTTGTTCCAGGGCACAATGCCTTTACCTCGTGAAAATCGTGTATTACTATAACCATAGTAAAGCCAAGTTAAAATGTGGTGATATATAGATTTGTATGGCATAATGACCTTTAATTTGCTGGCAGACCGCCTAGAAGTGTGGTGATACTACTACATAGTATATAGATTTGTACTTCGTGTTACATGAGATTTTGCCTACTGGAGACAGCTGACGGAACCAGCGTACTTTACTTATGTACTATGGCCTTTGTAATGGTAATTCAGGTATTTCTTTTTTTCTGCAAGCCCAAAGTGGCATTCAGGCATAAAAGTGCCTGAAATGGGGTTTGGGCCATAACCCACTAGTTATACAGCTTTGTACTGCTGGGGCGCAGAGGCTTGGGGTCGCCAATCAAAAAGCAAGTGTCTTGTTGATCGCGGACTGCCATCCGCCCAGCTACCGTCTTGAACTTACTGAACCAAAGCACTACACATGAGAGGAAAAAGAGAGATAAATAATGGAGTTAGTGATATTGAAGGTCGCTTGAGAAGGAGAAGAGAGAGAGTTAGCTACATTATGAGAGATATGCCCATCAGGGACCGCAGGCAAAATATGCAAACACGGTTGATTATATTCTTCTTGGAGTATGTACAACTTCCAATACCCGAGAAACGATTCGGCTGTGTAAAATGAGGACCAGTGGTTTGCTTTTTGCCTTGTGTGGCCGCTTTTTGGCTGGCGTGTATAGGCCTCTGTATGGTTAGTCCGTGCGATACAGATCTCTACTTTATCAGACCGTGACGGACATGTGGAGAGAAGTGACAACGCAATGACGACTCTCTGATGGCCAGCTACATACTCCATACTCCGGAAAAGCGGAGATAGCCAACCTTCTTCTACGAATCGTGTTGGTCCACAACGAAGGATCATTCCACTCCGAAAGCATCTACAAGAACATCCTCATTTATACTAAGATGAAATGGCAACCTTTCTTCAGCAGAGTTTCAATGTTACCGTCTCGCCAAGGACGGTCGGGCTGGAACTCGAGAACACAGGATGGTCAAAGAAAGTGATTTGGCAGATACCAAACAAACGAAATACTGATCTGCGAAATTTCTATCTCTTCAACCTTTCACAATTTCTTTCCTATCACCTTGACGATGGTAAACAAAGTAAAAAAATCTAAACCTCCAGGCTGAAAATCCTGTGTAAAAGCAACCCATAAACTGCCACATTTGCCATCGCCACAGGTATACCAAACTTTTTCACGACACTCAAGGCCGATAATGTTGTGGTAAATGTAGGTAGTCGCATAACAGGAAATGCAACCCAGGGGATGATTATATACAACCACGATACAACCCAACAATATCCTAATAACTTGCAAAGTGTGTCATTACACACCAAAGGCCATAGTATATCATCCATATCAGAGTAATGCCGATATATGTATCTCTGTACAATGTCCTCAATGGCCACAATGAATGGACTGATAAGTAGGATAAGTGCTACACCTACCTGACCAGGAATATTGATCAATGTCGCGGTGATATAATGGATACCGGCGGAGAGGGCAAATATGAGCGTCAGCTCCATATATCGTGCCGTTGTCTTGTCTGGTGCCAATTTAAGTATCCCAAAAGATAGGCCATTCGAAATACTGCGTAATGGCCAACGGAGGGATTGATGCCAGATTTGGCTTTAAATAACAGTTTTAGCTAGTTCCGTCAGTCTTTGAGTGATGATGACTTACCCACATGCTTTTCGAAATGTATATGCATCCCACAAGCTTCCAAAAAAAGGCGGCCAGTCCTCTGGATGTGTCAAACACAGACTAACAGAAGCGATAGACATACATCGATAGACAGAATCCACCACTGTTCTTAAAGCCAGAAGGAATGTAGGCACAATTGCGAGACATGCCGCTAATTGCAATATAGTAGGCCATCCGTGTATCATATATTCTGTGCCAGGGCCATGTGTGAGCTCTTGACATTCGAAGAAAAGGTCGAAATAACCATGATAGAGTATGTCAAGTGTCAACAGCTGACCCAATATGATGACAATCTGACGCAGAATGAATCTTTGCCGGCTGATTGTGCCTTTGATGGGAGAAATCCACCGTGGAAACGCGGGGAGGTTCTTCGCTTCCCATCTTGTGCCAATTCCGCGTAGACTTGTAGCAACCCCGACGGCAAAACACCACCGGGGCATGATATCAGAGGATCTGGAAGGGCATATCTCGACAACAGAATGTTTGTCAATGCCAATGATGTATAACAAGTTGATTATATGGACTGTTCTAACAAATGAGAAGAAGAGGTGTTGTACTTTGAGCAACGGAAGGCTGTATAGGCTGGAAAGATGGGTGGTTTCAATGTAGAGTAGAGATACCAAAGTTAGAATGCCAATGATTTGATAAGATGACCCTTTTGTTGTCGCAGTCATTAAAATTCCAGAGAGTCCATATTGTGCCATTATGCACACTAGGGGAAGTAGCATTTGAATCAGCATTGTTATAATGGCTGGTAAAAGGTCTGGGAGTGAGCAAAATGCTTCCCCAGAAAGAAACCGGAATGCACTTTTACACAAATTCGCCATCCACTCAGTGCCCGTGCTTTTCAACCTATCCATCCTTAGTAACATCTATTGAGTCACAAGTTTATTCTATTCATACGAAGTAAAGATTTGCGAGATAGATTTAGCAGGATGGAGCAAGGGGATGTTACTAAATTTCCGTATTAAAACTTGTACAGCCCAAACAAAGGCAGCTAACGTATTTCACATGCGAGTGGATCACACATGCGAGTGGATCACGCCAAAACACATAGTAAAATCATGGTTGTTGAGATATAAATGTAGGTGTTTTGGCGTGATCCACTCGCATGTGAAATACGTTATATCACGCTACGTTGTAGATCGATGTGAGGGAGGGAGGGGATGCAGCCGATCCCCACTCGGTCATTGTACACCGCCATTGACTTTAAGATAGGCATGCCAAGTGTAGCCTGACATCTGACCATGGTGGCAGAAAAGCAAGGACAAATCTGACTGTTTAATGTGGTAACATCTATTTAAGAAGAGTCGTGTCGGTCATTGCTGAGTGAGTACCCGCTACCTCTGGGGCTACGCTATTTGATCTTTTCTGAATTGAACCAATACTATTATCTCATTGCGCCCCCGAATTCAGCCATAAACTCAAGTCATGTCGAACAGCCCTTTTGTTTATATTGGTTTGCCTCCAAGCAAACTGTTTCGATTTCCAAGCTATACTGAGCTTTTTGATTCCATAAACTCTTCGAGAGATCACCCCAGCTTTTTGCCTGTGAAATCTCACAAATATTATGCGATGTCTGTCGATGCACTCCTCGTTATTACCACGGTCATCATGTACGTCTCGCTCGTGCTAATCGCCAATCGATGGAACCGAGTTCGAAAAAATCAACCAAGACCTTGGTGTGAATCTGGGATTTTCAGGACGATTATGATACTCCACAACTCCTTTTTAGCTGTGTTCTCAGCAACCGTGGTCTATATGGCGCTCAGAGTCATTCAGGATACATTTCCATTCCAGAACGATCAGGATTACGAAGTCCAGGTGGTGGACTATTTTTGCAAGTTCGCAAGCCCTACGTGGACGACTGGTAGAAGCGAGATGACCGACGGTCTCCAACGACAGTGGTCAGGAGACCCCTGGAACAATGGCTTAGGTGCATTGGCATGGGTATTTTACCTTTCCAAATTTTATGAACTCTTGGATACTGGACTTATCCTCATGAAAAGCAAAGAGGCATCATTCTTGCAGATATTCCATCACGCCGGTGTCCTCGTCTACGGCTGTGCAATGCTACATTGCATGACTCCTCAGATTTTGATTCCACTTCTTGTAAATTCAGGAGTTCATAGTATAATGGTGAGATCTAATAGTATCCTTCTGAAGCAATAATTTGCTAATATGTACTTGTCCCGCAGTATTCTTACTACATTTTGACCTGCCTTCGTTTTCGCGTCCCGAGTATTTTGAAACGGACTCTTACGACACTACAAATTACCCAATTTGTTGTGGGATATACTTTTGGCTTTATCTACCTATTTATACATTATGACTTTCCAGCATCGTTGAGGACATACCATGAGAGCTCCGACATAACGAGATTGAAAGCAATCAGTTTTTATCAAATGATGCTTGACCAAAACGAGCCAGGAGAGGCAACGCCAGCGAATCGATATCTTACCGTCTCTTGTTTGACCCACAGTTCACATGTTTTTTTGTTACTTCTTGGAAGTTTCTATCTTCTTCCTTTGACGTATATGTTTTCTCGCCTGGTACTGAAGAACATATGAACGCAGAAATATCCTTGACCTCAAGAATCATCATTTCGCTTAGGGAAAAAAGATTGCTTCAAAAGATCATGAGACAATAGAAATGTTCAGGTGATCATTGCTAATATCTTCGAGCATATGTTATTTTTGGCTCACTTGACAGTTTATGAACATATCTTGCAAGAGATATAGACCTTCTAATGGTCCATATCTTACCTGGCCTCCTTGATTTGGAGAACCCCCAAAGTGTAACTTCGCACATATCTCCATTACGCAGTCGGTATATTTATTATATAGCCTATCTCTTCCTTGTAGATAGATGTCGCAGTTTGACATTTGTATTGTTTTCTCTTATGCCCCGCGCCCGTCTTAAAAGCCCGTGAGGCATCAGCTCAGGCGTTCTCGGCCAGTGTTCTGATTTTGAGATGCTTGACAAGTAAGAGGCGAGGCCAAGAAGCTTGATGTGGACAGTCATACAAAATGAGTCTGAGACCATGGCCACTCGAGCAATGACCATTGTGGTCCCATGTTTCGTTCATAGTCCATATTCCTACATCTTCAACTTGTGTTATCCGAGCGAGAAGACGGGAAGCAAAGGTTAATTATGTGACTTGGTACATGTATATTAACGATGTATATTAACAATGAAAGAGGCTAGAAAATATGTAGTAATTTGCGAAACGTTATATTTGTATTGAAGTCAGCAAGACTGTAGCGGTAAGGAAGTAGAATGAGAGGAGGGAACTTACTACCCTTCACCTCTTGTTTCTTCCAGTTCAACTTGACTGTCTCGTGGGCGAGATTGTTTATATTTGTCCCGTTGGGAACATCCAATGTTCGATTCTCGATTTCTTAATTATGTGCGATTCTAATTCGTAGACCTGGGCATCAAATTGCTTATTGGCGCGTGATGCATCGTGGTTCATCAGTTGCCATTTTTGATTATCACGGCATTTTGCCTCTCGCGTTGGTGCCTCTTGGAATGGTTATCGGGGCTCAGGGATGCTGTTAAATTGTGCGACTGATGAGAAATGTATGATACGTCTCTGTCGAAACGTGATCGGTCAATATCGAGTCGCCTTGGGATTTTAACAAGGTTGTCGAGCGCAGTGTGGATATTAGATAGGCCAGATCTAATGATGTCCGCCATACTGAGGGGATTGGTAGAATAAAACCGAAAGGCACCAATTTAGAAGAATGGGAGTGGGTGAAATAGGATATTGGGGGATTTCCCTAGCTGACAGAATCCAGTGTGACCTGAGCGCTAAGCTGCAGCAACTAGCGCGCGAATTGGCCCCTTCACTCTATATTCACTTGAACAACCATATCTAATAGCTAACCGCCCAACATTCGACGCCTTTTTACTATATTTATGTCCTCATTTCAATCTAATTTTATTATCTGAAACGATTTCTAGAACGAACAACTCCCAATATTGCCGGGGTGTAGCGGTTAAGATCACTTTCGTAATCGATGCCAAATAACATGACTACATAATATAATGTCTCCAATATTTCTTCCGAGTGTTTCCTCCCCGTTTGATAATTGTTTTATGTTCAATATTGCTTCGACATGTCGTTGTATCCAAACCGCCATCGCCTTGCTCTCTTCTCCCTCAAGCCCCTGAACGAACACGCCAAAAATGTCGTCAACCATCCTTGGAACCAACACCTTACTTCGAAGTTAACAGATGGCACAATTGTTCTTGACATTGGCTTCCAGATACGGTCACGTTCACATCACACACTTGCAACACTAGGGCGTGGGGATGCGGACATCTTTGTAGATGGCATCACCATCGCCAACATCCAGTGCTCTTTCGAGATCGAGCCGGCCACCAATGTGATTATGCTCTACGACAGGTCTCATGGTCAGACAACGCAGCTTTTTGGCAACGATGCTGTGCCATTCGAGCATGGCCGCTTTCGTCAAGTAGTCGTTCAGAAGGATTTGAACAGTCGTCTTGGGATGGGCGGCAGAGCACAAAATACCGTTCAATTCGAGTTTATATGGTATCAGGATTTCCCTGAAACGGCGGAGATAATCAAAGATCGAGAGTCTATTATTAATGACTACGAGGAAAATCCACGCCTAGCTCGGACGACTGATGAGTTGGAAACGGCTTTACCCGCTCAAATGCAGACCAAAATTCACACTGCAGGCCCTCGACAGCTGAAGATGAGATATATATGAAGTTTGGCAAACTTGGATTTGGCCGGAGCTGTATACAAGGGCCTCGATATCGACACGGGCAGGTTTCTCGCTGTTAAGATGTTACAACAACCCAAGCAACCTTCAGAAGAGGCAGAGTGGAGGAAGCTGTTAAAGCGAGAGGTCGACACTTTGTCTCGGATTAGCCACGTTAGTAACACATAAATGCTCCCAAGGTCCCGCACACCAAACTGACGCTGCCCTAGCCGCACATCATCGATTATATCACCTCGCAAGGCTGGGACGGACCATCTGCGGAGATATTCATGGGCCTCAAGGACGGCACACTTGAATCCTTGGTTCTCAAGGGTGAATTTCCGTCCATAAACAGCCTCGCCAAAAGCGCCTTCCACCAGATGCTCCAGGCGTTAGATTGTCTGGCTGTGAATGGTATTGTTCATCGAGATGTAAAGCCGGAAAATATTCTCTATACTGCACTGCCAGATGCGCGATACCGGTTTTACCTCGGCGATTTTGGTCTATGCAACCGCACTGTTATTGCTCAGAGTTTTGTTGGGAGCCCATTGTACACGGCCCCCGAGGTTTATCGACATGGATTCCAGACACCCAAGATGGATATCTGGTCCCTTTTGTAACAATCGCATGGACACTAGATTTTGATGAATTTCGCCAAAATCTGTACCTTTCTACGTCCCTCCCGCAGGCCTACCAAGCCATCCTCGCTATGACATCAATGATCGGAGAGATTCACGAAATGGCAAGAGTCGACCCCGAAGATCGTGCCTCCGCGGCACAGATGTTGGTCAAGTGTTTTCATGGACAAGGCCTTTCAACTCAGCCAAATCAAGTTCCACCACTTACACCCAGTCCAAGAAAGCCGGAAATCAGAACCGAGGCCGACCCGGAGCCCATGGCTCAGGTCAAATATCGACCAGCCCAGGATATACAAAGGTCTCCAAAACAACATACGAATCGGTTCCGTGTCCATAAGACGAGTAATCCGAAGGCTCGAATATCGGGGCCAAACACAATAGCTACTAAGCCTTGAGCAATTCTGCTTTCCACAAAGAAGGTTCGGCTTCCCTCCACTGTTGAATCCCCTCTTTTTGTACATGGGTTTCGTACGCGGCCGCCATCTAAAGACTAGAGTACACGGCACTGTCGGCGTAGGGTTTAACATAAACTCAGGGTTGTGGGTCTACCTAACCATCACCAATTATTTTTCTCTTTCTTCGAAACTTTCTTGCTGATACTTAGTTTGCGTTTGGCTGCTTCATCTGCTCACTGTGATAGTTATTTATGCAATGCACTTTGTTTCTTCTTCATTTCACCACTTTCCTTCCACATAAAGTAGAAAATACAATATCCGAGTTTCTCCAACTTGAACTCCAAGCTCCGTATAATACAACGATATGGCCCCACATGTATATAGAAGAGCACATCGGCACGTGGAATCAGGCGATATCCGAGTGGATGATGTCGGAAAAGGCACAAGCCCATTGGACAGAGCAACCGCCAAGAACCGACCGCGGGAGCTAAATTGTAGACCGCGGGAAACATCCATCAGAAATCCCCACCTTTAAAAGTAAGCTGGAGAATTATAGAGCCAATCTCTCCTCACAAACCCCTTTAACTCCAGAATGACAGACTCTACCATCCTGATCACGGCAGGTCCGTACCAATTCCTCGGGAAGCTCGAGTCTGCTGCTCCCAAGACCGTCACATTGTTCCGTTCTCTCCTCCCATACCGGCAAAAGCTCATTCATGTGCGATGGAGCGGCGAGGGAATGTGGATTCCGTTGGGCGAGACCAATTTCAACCTCCCATTCGAAAATCACACCGCGCATCCCGCGCCTGGGCAGATTCTGCTGTACCCCGGAGGTATCTCGGAGACCGAATTCCTCTTTTGCTATGGAGGAGTTGCTTTCGCAAGCAAGATGGGAGCGCTTGCTGCAAACCACTTCTTGACTATCACTGAGGGATCTGAGAATCTGCATGCACTTGGAAATCTGACGCTGTGGGAAGGGGCTCAAGATGTGTTGTTCGAGCTGGCGGACGAGGATAAGTATGTTTCGAAATTTGAATATATCATGTATGTGGCTGATGCAGTACAGAATTCGTCAATTCAAAGCCACTCGATCTGCTAAACTCTAGCTCATGCGCATAAGTGTGTATTATAAATCTCGACACCGTGGGGGAGAATAGTTCAAACCGGCACCATGAGAGAGAAAGAACAAACATATATCCAAAATATCATACTGCAGCGATTTGCAAAATACTATCAACGCTTAGCTACTGTTTCATTTTCCTAATTTTATCTTTCAAATCACAATTTCAAGCACTTGCCCAAACGTATATACATAGGTAGAGCTAGCAGATCAGTAGACGAAGTCACCCCACTATAATTCCGGCTACACCCCACTTCTACTCCAACTTGCACTTGCACTTCCACTTCAACTTCAACCCAACTACTTAGTTTCCTTTATCAAATTCCAGCCAAGAAACCAAACCAAAATGTCCCCAACCACCCCCGCAATCCTCCTCCTAGGAACATGCGACACCAAACTCCCAGAACTCCTCTACACAAAAGCCCAAATCGAATCCACCAACGCAACAGTCCTCCTAATGGACATCAGCCGCAACCCAACCACCCACGAAGAAATCGCCATTCCCCAAAGCGCCCTAGTCACCTCTTCCTCCCCGTCAACCCCAATCCCAGATCTAACAACCCTCGCGCGGGCCGAGTACATAACCACACTCACACCCTACGCCACGACAAAAGTAATCGACCTCCACCAATCGCACCAAATCCACGGCATCCTCGCCATCGGCGGCTCATGCGGCACATCACTAGCAGCAGCAGTCATGCGCGACGCGCTACCAGTCGGATTCCCCAAACTAATCGTCTCAACCATGGCATCGGGAGACGTGGGGCCGTATATTGGCGAAACGGATATCAGCATGATGTACAGCGTTGTTGATATCGCGGGCCGGAACCGTGTTTTGGAGGGTGTTCTTGATAATGCTGCTGGGGGGATTGTCGGGATGGCGAGTGCGTTTTTGAAACGAGAGCGGGGTGGGAAGGGGGTAGAGGTACCTTCATCTTCTGGTGTGAGGATTGGTATATCCATGTTTGGGGTTACGACTCCTGGTGTCACGCGCGCGCGGGAACGTCTTGAGGAGGTCTTGCCTGGTTGTGAGGTTTATGTTTTTCATGCTACGGGGTCTGGGGGGAGGGCTTTGGAGAGACTTGTGAGGGAGGGGCGGATTGATGCGGTGCTTGATTTGACGACTACGGAGATTGCGGATGAGGTTGTTGGTGGGGTTCTTAGTGCAGGGGATGGACGGTTGACTGCGGCTACGATGCGGGATATTCCGAGGGTTGTTAGTGTTGGGGCGTGTGATATGGTTAATTTCGGGGAGGCGGGGAGTGTTCCTGCTGCTTTTGCGGGGGCTGGGAGGTTGTTCCATGAGCACAATGCGACTGTTACGCTTATGAGGACTACTAAGAAGGAATGTGCGGATATTGGGATGTTTATAGCGGGGAACTTGTTGCGGGATTCGAGGGATAGAAGACAATTGAGGCGGACGAAGGTGGTTCTCCCTGTTGGTGGGGTGAGCATGTTGGATATTCCTGGTCAGCCATTCCACGACCCAAAGGCAGATGAGGTATTGTTTTCTACTTTGGAGAGGGAATTGGAGGGCAGTGGGATATCAGTCGCGCGAGATTTGCGTAACATCAATGATCCCGACTTTGCAGTGAGGGTAGCAGATGAACTGGCCAAATTGATCCGCGGAGAATAGATCCTACGGCATGGCCAGGAATATAATCTAAAGCCGGTCATATACGGGAGCAACTACACAAGGAGTGAAATGTTGACGCATAGCTTCGATTTGTTGAAGTTCTACACCATCACAATCGGCCCATGGAGGCCTACACACCAGAATAAGGTATCAAGAATAAAATCCCATCACGCAGTGTTGAATGCAAGACCATCCCAGGTCATCCCACGCCAAAACAAAAACATTAGAAACACACCATCCCCGGTGCAGGCCACTTTTTATGCCGTTGAAGGACAACCACTTTTGAGTTCTAAGTTGATGGAGAACTCGAAATGCCAATCATAACATCGTCGAATCATGTTGAAAGTCTATTTCCCAAGATTATCATCGAACGCAGTTGAAAATATAAAGAAATTAGTAACGGTAGATCTCGGGCTTGAAGGGGCCGTTGACGTCGAGGCTGAGGTAATCGGCCTGGACAGGGGTCAGCTCAGTGAGCTTGGCGTTGACGTGATCCAAGTGGCAGCGAGCGACCTGCTCGTCGAGCTGCTTGGGCAGAACGTAGACACCGACGGGCTTGCGGCCACCGGCACCGAACTCGATGTACTTCTTGCCGAAGGCGGCATCCTCAGCCTTGAAGAGGGCAATCTGGGCCAAGACCTGGTTGGAGAAAGAGCAGGACATGACGAAGGAAGAGTGGCCGGTAGCACAGCCAAGGTTGACAAGACGACCCTCGGCGAGGAGGATGATGTTCTTGCCGTTGAGGTTGTAACGGTCAACCTGGGGCTTGATGTTCTGGACGGACTGAGCGTTGGCCTTCAACCAGGCGACGTCAATCTCAATATCGAAGTGACCAATGTCTGAAAGATCGTTAGTATTAATGCTCAAACCAACCTTTTGACCCAAAACAACTTACTGCAGACAATGGCGTCGTTGCGCATGGCCTCGAAGTGACGGCCAACAAGGATGTCACGGCAACCAGTGGTGGTGACGAAGATCTGACCGGTAGGGGCAGCAGCCTCCATGGTGTTAACCTCGTAACCCTGGACGGCAGCCTGGAGGGCGTTGATAGGGTCGACCTCAGTGACGATGACACGGGCACCCATGGAGTGGAGAGCCTGGGCACAACCCTTGCCGACATCACCGTATCCGGCAACGACAGCGATCTTACCAGCGATCATGACATCGGTGGCACGCTTGATACCATCGATGAGGGACTCACGGCAGCCGTAAAGGTTGTCGAACTTGGACTTGGTGACACAGTCGTTGACGTTGATGGCGGGAACCTTGAGCTTGTTCTCCTTCAGCATCTTGTACAGGTGGTGGACACCGGTGGTGGTCTCCTCGGAGACACCGAAGCAGTCCTCGAGCATCTCGGGGTACTTGGAGTGGATGAGGGAGGTGAGATCACCACCGTCATCAAGGATGAGGTTGAGCTTCTTGCCATCGTTGAAGGCCTGGAGCTGCTGGTCCAAGCACCACTGGTACTCCTCCTCGGTCTCGCCCTTCCAGGCGAAGCTGCAGAAAGAATGGTCAGACGAAGTCCACAAAAAGGTATGAAATCTCAAAAAGGTTTCAGAAAGAATGAAAACTTACACAGGGACACCGGCGGCGGCAATGGCGGCGGCGGCGTGATCCTGGGTGGAGAAGATGTTGCAAGAAGTCCAGGTGACCTCGGCACCGAGGTGAGTGAGGGTCTCGATGAGGACAGCAGTCTGGATGGCTGGAGGAGCGGTCAGCACATGATTTGCTTTTTGTGATGGATCAACATACTCATGTGAAGACAACCGGCAATACGGGCACCCTTGAGGGGCTGGTCGGCACCGTACTTCTCACGGATGGCCATCAGACCGGGCATCTCGACCTCGGAGAGCTCGATTTCGCGGCGACCGAAGGCGGCCAGGGACTAGGGAACGGTCAATGTTTGAAGGGAAAAAATAGGTGATTGAGAGAGAACATACGAGGTCAGCGACCTTGAACTTCTGTGCGGGAGCAGCCATTATGTGAAATATGTATTCAAAAACTGCTGATTGTTAGACAAAGATCAGAAGTGATATAGGAATTGTAGGAATTGACTGACCAAAGGGTGTATGAATGAGAAAGGAAGAGGGAAAGAGGGAAAAGGAGAATAGAGGGGAAGGAAAACTCTCCGCTTAGTGAGGGATCCACCAAGGTCCCAGAACGTGGCAAGTATAGGTACCGCCTTACGATACATTTTCAGCGTGTGTGGCCAGGTACCGGTACTTATCACCACTTCTTCGGTCTCCGTAGTGGGCTGACTGATGGCGGGGTCTTGAGCTTAGTCAGGATCAGCAGCCACCATGAGCTAAACGTGGCATCTATTGGTGGCATCTATTGGGATCACGTGATGGGATCGTGTAACCCAGCCCCTCATCTACGGTAGTTAGCTCAATAGTGAATGCATCATCTTGTGCATCAAACCTTGCTATACCACAAGCTACATATATATGTAGTTCCTGTTGAAGTAAAGTACATTCATCAATTGATCTCAAGATCGTCTTGTATAATACATATAATACATGGACAAATATGCCCAGATGTGCGGCAGGATATCCCAATATGGGCTAGTGCGCTTGAGGTGGGGCCTTGAAAAACAATCCTCCAAGATCGGAAAGGGTACGGAGTATATCTTCAGATAATTATAAAAGTCGACGGCTGCTAATAAACAATGCAATTGAAGTAATCATTTTGGTTGATATTTTATTTCGAGTATCACAACAATCAAAGGATAAAATAAAAGGAATGAAAAAGAAGCCACCATACCATGCCACTAGTTTTACTTGACATGAACCCTCATCTATCTAAAAATAAAGATTTGCAAATAAATAACACCCAAGTCTCCTTCTAGACCAGTGTAGCGCAAACTCTATAGACCTTGTTATGTGATGTATGCTCCCAGGTCCCAATTACCGGGGATTTATAACGGTGCGTTAGAGCACAGCGCAGGAAGACAACCGGCGAGTTGAGGCAAACACCTCATGTCCCTCTCATAACAAATTATAGTAGTTAAAACCAGCTGGTATGTTCCAGCTTTGGTACATACTCGTCATTGAGAGGCTTCATCAATGCGTCGTGCTTGGAAACTTCCCGCAGCCTGTCTAGCTCGGTGAAGCCAAAATGCATCAACCCAGCGAGGGGATATTTCTCCAGCGTAACCATATATGACCGGGCTTCAGATTTTTTTCATAAGTTAAGGCATGTGAAAAGAGAATGGTTGGCCATAACTTACTGCTGCAGGATTCTTGATCGACAGAGGACCGGCCAGTCCAACTCGCACAGAGGTATATCCAATGAAATTTGCAATGGATATTTTCGGTGCATCGTTTATACGTTCATTTATATGCTTTGCATCTTGCAGAACATGTCCACATGCTGCAGATCCCGAAGGGCATGTTCAACCTGGTTGGATACAAAGAATTTGGAAACAACTGCAACAATTCCTCCAAATGTAGAGCTCGATCTGCACACCCCTAGAGTTAGTGGAGCAAAGTAAGATAAAATAAGATCCTCCTATTTTGACATTATATTAACCGTCTCAGGATTATGCCACCATCTTCGCCAGTAAAGAGTTTCCCATGAGTTGCGTTTGTCTTTGCCCAACTCATTATTTCGGGCAAAAATCGTGGTATCAGTCCCTTTATTACGTGCCTCAGCGATGGAAATCAGATGTGTGATAGTGTGACTGCAAAGTAAGTTTGACAAGAGAATAATGAGACTTTGTAAGTACGGGTTGATGGGGCTTGGGTGGTCATACGTGCGGGTTATAGCGCCAATCCTCCTATGAGTAGAGGCAAGCCACACTTCTCTCCGGACGGGGTCATTGGATGGCTGTGGCAGGCATGATGAAGGCATGAGGAGTAAGGGCGAAAAAGGACATCACGCGAGAACCGAAGGCGGTTTATCATGCCCAGGCACTGTCGCGCGTGGAGGATGTCATGGTGGGGGAGCTTGAAGTAACCTAGTCTAGTAGACGGATTCATCATCGTCCTCTAACGGGATTCTTTGTAACCGAGAAAACAGCTCCAGTTCTATGCGCTGAGCCGGAATTGGGCCTTAGAGGATTTATTTCACTATACTAATGCTAGGGGGGAAATCGTGCTCGAAGATGGGCTCACCAGCCCCCTTTATATTAGCAAGCATGGACTAGCGGAAATGCCAACGAAGCAATTTCTCTGCGATACGGTCGGGGGTTGTTTGGAATTCGGCACACGATATCTAGACGCGTAATAGAACAGTCGAAATTACCACGGCGCTAAAGTTCCTCGCGCTCTATAGGGAAGACGTCACTTGGCCTGGGCAAGAAATGCCTCCTTTTACCAGTTCCCGTGTAACAATTCCTGGATGTATGATTGTCGAACTCAATTCCCGGATCAGAGTCTTCCTTTCTGCGGTCCGTTATCGATTGATATCCCAATCAACCTTTCCGGCCCTCATTCTCGGACCGATAAAAGGAGTTCAACCTTCTCAAGGCACTGGTTGAAACGTTGAAGGAGCGAAATGACATGGTCATGGCCTTTATCGTCAGCTGAACCGATTCGCCTGTGAACCACCTGGGCATGTTCTGGTGATAGCTTGGAATGTGTTATCGAGCTTCGCCTGGAGCCCGCGGCAAGAAGTCTTCGCTTCTGCTGAAATCACGACTTCATTTTGTGTTGTCTGCAGAACAAATTACAGTGTTAGCAGGTATATGTGTGTGAGTTATCTGCTGCAGAAGGCCTTACTCTTAATCAAGGTAGGCTTGCCACCGTCCGAACCCACGATAGGCCCAGACTTCTTGCGAGTCCAACTGTTCCTAACAGGTTTTCTCTGCCTTCCTGGCTAGTAATCCGACTGGAAGTTCTACTCTTGTGGGGCTATGCCGATCCGAACGTTTTTGGGCTCATCGTCAAGGCCAAAGATGAAATTGCTTGGGCAAAAGCGTTCACGAATTTCCAGCCGACAAAGATGGCAGGATGGTAGGTTTTGTGGTAGACGAAGACAGCAGATGTAAAATGCAAAAGAGGACTCTGAAAATTGCTTATCGAGATGGGATATGAATGATATGTGGGAAGAAAGTGAAAGGAAGTGAGGAGAAAGTGAAGAGGAGGAGAAAGCAAAAAAGGGAAGTTGAGGAAGGCAGCACTTAGCTTAGACTATAAACATTCACTTCACTGGGGCAAGAACTATAGGAGTCTAACTAGCCCTAAATGTATATAGATTGCGTAACCTAAGGCTGCCCGGGTGAGTTCCCAGTATACAAATATAGCGAATCATGGAACTATACGCGCCTTCTCAATTCTTCATGTGCTTCTTCGCCTTCTTGGGCACTCTGGCCATCTCAGTCTTCCACCCCTGATCAATGAGCGGTCCACGCTCGTTCAATAAGGACCTCGGGAGGTTCTAAAGGGCTAAATGATGGGGGAGTCTTACTTCCAACCTCGGAACCTTGGGCAACGTTGTACACATGTCAATCTACATAGTACATATACGGGTTCATTCACTACTAAAATTCAAATCATTGATAAACATATCCTTTGTTCATGTACAGGACATGCTAAGCCTAAAAAAAAGAAATAAAACCACCCATATGAAGTTGGAGTCGTCTCTTTCGTGTCCATAGAACGCCTTAAGAACAGGAAAATTGCAAGCCATAAGAGATTCGTCAACGAGCAGAAAACAGATAGCGAGAAAGATAAAAATAAAATCAAATAAACGGCATGGTCTCATAAGTCATGAAAAGAACGAAAATCATGATGGCTCGAAATAAGACAACACTAGTAAGCGATCTGCTGCGCCTCATGCGCCCCATAGGGATTTCCATCACGGTAAAGAGGGGTATTGTCGGTTCGGGATTCATTCATCGAAGGTGCATATTCAATCTCATCAGGCCATCGATGACGGCGGGAAGGCGCACCCTGGCTACGAGCACGACGACGCTCACGCCTAACAGCACGTTGAGCACATTCCTCCTGGAAATGGGTATTTTCCTTGCGTTTCTCCATAACCTCCTTCCATTCACCATAGGCGCCCTTGATACCGAGTGCAGCGAGACCGATACTCACAGCGTCCTTGGAGTTAGCTTTCATGCGACGTTTGCGGGCCTCCTCTGGCGTAATCTCTCCCTCTTTCAACTGCTGCATTCGCTTTTTCCTCTTCTCCATGCTACCGTAGAGACCGTGCGCAGCGTGGATAGTGGCCACACTGGCCAGACCTCCCGTCATCAGCATATCCCGCTTCAGCTTCTTGCGTTTCTTCTTTTCATCAGAACTGTCACCTAAGTCAGAATCACTCTCGGAGCTGGACCCGTGGCCGCGGTCCTTAGAACCAGCACCGGATTCACCGCGCGGTGCGCTGGTGGGTGCATATGGGGGTGGATTTCTTCCGTCCATTGAACGGTATTGACCTACATCTCTCGAGCCTTTGCCCCGTCTCGAGTCCCGGTTGTAATAATTGCTGTCCGCATCTGAATCCGAATCGTCGTCGTGTCGATGTCCCCGGTGATGACGCCGATTTCGGTCGTCCCGATGCTCCCGACTATGCTCCCGATGATGCTCCTTACGACCGTCTCTGCTGTCGCGGCGACGGTCTTCTTCTTCTCCAAGTCCCAGGGCGGCCATGCCCTTGCTGATGTACTCCGAAACGCTCTTGCTGCGCTTGTGGGAGCCACGCTCGTTCTCGTCACTGCCTCGGGAATCGTCGCGGCCGCGAGGCCGAGAACGTGATTTTGAGTATCGATCAAAGATTTCTTTTCCGGCAGCGGCAATAGCTCCAGTGGCAGCCAGGTTCTTGAGGCCACTACCACCTGAAGAGCGACCACCGTCTCGGCCACGAGATCGTGAACGCGAGCCGCCACCCATAAAGTGGCTAGCAGCCAGACCCGCAAGCGTGGACTCGACGACATGACGTGTTCCGTGCTTGCTGGGATCTTTGTCGACAAGACCGTCAGTACCACCAGCAGTCACAGCGGCAGTGAGGACGCGCTTTCCTTTCGTACCGGCCCATTCGCCCGGCTCTTTGCGCTGTTTGAAAGCCTCAACTGCGCCGGCTGTCAAGGCAGCGCGAGCAGCCTGTGCGATGCGCTGCTCGCTTTTACCACGCTTGCTGCCGCCATCGCGTTTGCTTCCGCCGCGATGGCGGCTGCGACTGCGCGAATCTGACGACGACCTGGAATATGATCTATGGCGACGGCGGGATGGAGAGCGGGCACGGCCACGATCTCCGCGGCTGGCGGAAGCAGCGGCACCCCCAAGGCCTAGGGCACCCAGGGCTTGCTCGCTGAATGACTTGCGACGTCTGTGGCGGGGTGGAGAGCGACTTGGAGAAGAATCAGAATCGTATTTGGGGCGACGGGAGCCTGAGAGATATTAGAATCAATTTCAACCACATCAGCTCTATATCACTCACGTTTATCCTCGTAGTGTCTTGACCGACGAGGACCGGAGCTTCGGTAGGCAGGATCGTTGCGTGGATCGTAACCGCTGACGGAGGAGGCACGGCGCACATTTTCGTAGACGGGTCGCCTCGGCCGCCGGGAGGCATAAGAGCGCTCGTAGGCATAGTCTGAGCCGGGTGGGTAGTCGCGCTGCACTTCCTCGACCGAGTCGTTGCTTTGACGGGGTACATATGAGTCTCGCTCGTGTCGGCTATAACGGCCACGAGGGTCATCATATGGATCAGCATAACTGGCTGGGCGTGTGTAGCGGTCACGCGGCTCGCGATAACGGCGGTCCTCGTAGTACGCCATGGTTGAGGCGAAAGTGAGGGGGACACAAATTGAAAAATAAAGGTCGAAGGTTGTGAGCTTCTACCGATCACTGGGAGAATATGTGTGATGAAAAAAGAAGTTCGTGATCAGAGATGTATGGCGGGGCTGGGGGTGGCGTGACGTCGATGTGGATTCAGATGGGTGAGCAAAACTTATTTTGGGGCCGAGAGACTTGGCAGTGGCTGAGAGTGATAGATAGTCAGGGAGATAATACATAGAAGAAAAGTACAAAGTTCAAAGGCAAAAGGACAATTCTTTCTCAGGGAGTATATATATCCATGGATACTTGCAAATCAAGATTACGCCAATGACGTACAAAAGAACAGCGAAGGAATGTTTCAAAAGCGGATGTACCCCATCGAATGAGCATCTGGACTAATGTCGTGTATCAGATATCGGATAGCACTCCGACGTCATCCTGCATCTTAAGTGCCAGGGAATTTTCAACGGGCCAGCCCTATAACATACACAAATACTGACATTTTGATAACTTTTTGAGTGTTTTGTTTTACTTTCCTCTAAAGGATATCTACAAAGCATGCCAAAATACAATATACAATATAAAAATATCAAGGATTAAGATTTATGGAACGTAAACAATGGTTCCACGGGTCGCCTACGGGGTTCCCAGTGGCTTACGATCCGACCAACACGATGCGATGGATGTCGTTGGGTGCAGAACTGGTTGCACATAATTTCTCATGGGAATCCCCGAAGGGAAGCTGGACAGTATTTGGCTCTTCCTAGAACATATCGTCTCCCAAAAATTCCAACCATCACACATAACACGAGAACAGCATGGTACAAGAGGGATATAAAACAGGGAAATAATAAAGACACATAGTAACACGTATGATAGGCCTAGACGTCTCGATAATTTGAAACGTGCAGTCATGCAAATGATCGCTGAGATATGAAAAACAAAAAGAGTAAAATAACACATGTTGAGAACCCAGAATTGACAGCCAAAAAAGGGACTAAATAAACAGAATCGAATCACACCGCACAGCAGTGGCCAGGCACAAGGGACCAACAGAAGGCTGAAGTCGTATAATAAACAGCAAATAGAGTGGACGGTCAGAGAAAACCGAACTCCGCTCCCCTAGGGCGCCTGTGGACCAGCCCCTGGGAGAGGCTGTACACCTGCCTCGATAGGTTGACTGATATTGCGCTGGTGGGAAACTGAGGAGTATGCCGAGCCGGGACGAGCCATCGCCCACCGAGCATCAGCCTCTGGCTCCGAAGTAGAGCGCATCTCGTCCGAGTGCGTGCGGTGGGTCCGGATGTGCTGTTTCATATTGTCTTTCCTCGTAAAGGCTTTGTTACAGATCGGACAGTGGACACTCTTTTCGCCAGTGTGCTTCTTGCCGTGGCGCGCAGCATGGCCCGAAGTCGTAAACGTTGAAGAGCACCCATGGCTCGCGGCATAGGGGCACGGGTACTTGTTCTTTCGCCCCGTGGCGCGTGTCGCCCCGGTCTGAGAAGCCGATTCGGATGTGCTCGAACGAGTCTCAGGTGGCGTTCGAGGAGCTGCTGGCCCACGAGCAGGGAATTGGTATGGTTCCCGTCGCGGATCCTGCCGGGCATACGGGTGATAAGATGATGGCTGACTGGTGATGTAGTCGTAAGCTGAGCCATCGGATGACCCCGGTGAAACGGGCTGGACGACTTCAGTCATCGCATCCGAGTGATGCCTGGTCCCTCGTGGTGATGTTGCTGGAGATTCGGATGAAGCTTGGGGACGGGTGTACTGGTCGGTGACGGGCGGAGGTAGTCGTTCTGACTGATGTGGATAATATGATGGTGATGTGTGAGTCCGACTAAGTCGGGGCGCGGAACGGACCGCAAAAGATGGGTTATCATCATTATTCAGAATGGACACAATACTCGTCCTACAGCTGGACATCTCCTCAAGGCCCCGATGTGCGGTCACCCGGGCTGGAAAACTATACTAAAAGGCAGAATCCACGTTAGTTTAGACTGCTGCCAACCGGCTCAGCCGGACTCTGGGTACTCGTAAGAACTCGAGAGATCACCGATCTAAGACAAGGGGAGAAAGGGGAGGAGGGTGTTGAAGAAGAGAAAGAACATCTCGCTCATTTCTTGCCCCCGGAGGACACGACAAACGCACCAGCGGCTCTCGAAAGATGTTTGTCCTCTGTGTCGTGTAACACGTCGACAACATTAGACCCTAAATCGGCACTTGCCTGCAGACCTGAGCAGAGGCCCGATGACTCGAGCTTGTGCCGGGCTCCTTGTGTCCTTTTGAGGCACGGGAAGTGACGAAAAAGTATCTCAAAAGTTGTTGAATGCTGGAGATACGACGACTCGGCAGCGATAGGGCAAAGTGAGGTCTGACAAATCTTGTTCTCGCAGTGGAATTTGTTCCGAGGCTCAGGTCCTCTTTTTTCGCTTTTCTTCCTAGGATTTCCTTTTTTTCCTTTCTAATTTTGCAATTGGATGTGGGGAACACAATCGTCAACGGCAGTTGCAAACTGGCCTGGGGATGTTGCAGAAAGTCGAAGATCAACGCCGGTTGTCTAACCGCGCAAAGTAACAGTTCTTCCAGAGAAGTGCTAGGCCGTCTGGGAATATGTAGAAACTAAATGCGCTCTGCGCGTGCCCGTGATAGAGGTCGAAGTGGAAATGAGATCCCCGATATGAGATAAGATGGGAGGGGGGGAATTGACGGGATGACGAGATCCTTGAGAAATCAAAGTAAGAGGTAAGAAATCAAATAGGAATATAGATCATGAAGTAGAAGAGAAAAAGTGACGAGCAGCCAACCATGGCCATTGGTAACTAATTATAAAAAGAGCGAAAGAAGCCAAGCTCCAGGGTCTGTCGAGGCTCCCCAGAGGATACACTTCCATACCGAGCACGCTATTTAGTTCGGTGGAGAATTAAAAAAAGAATTCCAAGAATTCCAAGAAAAATAATAGAAAATAATGTAAAATCCGAAAACAAAAATGAAATATAAGACACAATACTCCGTACAATAATACATACCAAGACCCCTAATCCACCTGTGCAGACCCGTTTTCTTCTCCGTTTCTTCCGGCCCGCCCGCGACTCCAGTAGAGGTCTGTGACATTTGTTTTTCTTTTTCGGATCTCATTCTTTGATATTGTTCTTCCTCTACTCGGTACGGCTTTCTTTCACTTCTAGATATACTACATATTGTATGTGCAGTTAAAAGTCTTAACTCCGACTGGATTGTCATTCGGACTAGGGCTTCGGCTTGGCCAAGCGAAAACAGGAAAAGATCCACCATATCGGCAGAACTACGGGCAATCATGAGACCATTGGACCCTGAGCAGATTAATGGTCTTATTTATGGATTTTATGGGTTTGATTTATGTTTAGGGATTGGAATCTAAAAAGAAAATCAGGAATGGACAAGCTTTTAGCCCTGTCCACATTATGCAATGTACGTATTCATCCATGGATACTCCGTTGAAATCGTATAGCTTCTCACGGGACTACTTTTCTACCTGGGGAAATCCAAGAACATACGTAAGTGATGATGTTAGTACCTTGGCCTGTTTGGGAACTCACCTCCGGCTTAGGGATTCCATAGCGGGTATTCCAAGGTTGGCTTCAATTCGGAGATTCGGAGGTTGATTGGCTGATTGGTTTCTTAGTTTCTTAGTTTCCTACAAATTGTAGCTCTGTTTTATTCAATTTGGTATTTATTATGTACAACGTACTCCGTATTGCAGGGCGATCTCGCCCTACGGTAAAAATGAAACAAGGAAAAAAAAAGATAAGACATAAAAGGTCCAGCCCTGAGATCTCTAACGCTTTAACGCTTTGATAATCTATTAATCTATTTCCCAGGGCTATAACGTGGCGCGCCCTTGCTTGTCGGGGTTTTTGGTTTCTTGAAAGAGTACTTTGCACCGAGCTTTCTTTTTCCCCCCGAGATCAACCAAACTAACATGTGCTGGATAATCCTTCCCCCCCCCCCCCCCCTCCCCCCCCCCCAAAGAAATTACGTGTATATACCATACAATATACATCTGTTTGTGTATAGATATAGACAGGGATTGCCTCCGCGTTTTGAATAAAGATAACCTAATTAACCTAATCTGGATCGTCCGTCACTGTCTGCGTTGACTCGCGCAAAGATTTGCATGCGTAGGGCCTAGGGGGTTGAAAGGGACTGGCCCGTGCGATTATTCGTATTCGCGTCCATCCGCCCCGCTCCGAGAACCCATTCGCGGGGACTCTCCAGGGCTGACTTTCCCTCTACGTTGTAGTACACGTACTCCGTAAGTCGGCGTATGATGAAACAGACTGACTTGATTCTTATCTAAAAGGGGTGATATACTTAGTAGAGAGTGGCCTTAATTAAATTGTGAATCAACGGTGTGCTCTATCCGGTCATTTATCAAAACTGCATTTTTCTTTCTTTTCCTTTGACTCTCCCGCAATTACCACGCGTTGCACTGCCGATCAAGCTAAGCTTCAATGATCCGATCTGCTGGGACTAATCTGAGAGAAGACGTAGTACAAAGTTCGTGGGCTGAGGACGCGGACCATTTTTTGGCTTTCCCAGCCGAGCGTTGATTTGTCTATACTCGATCTTAGACGGGGCATACGTATGCAGCCTACGTATATACACGGTAGACGTATATCGCACGGTAGTTCGGGCTGTCTAGTCCTGCTCTGGCTAATTTGCTTCTGTGCTTGTTTCGACTAAGGATTTAGTGTCCGAGTCAATTCACTCACTCGCCGAGCTTACGCCACAGGCTTGATTCGTCAGGGCCCTGTATTCGTCGGTTTGATTTTACGTTCCTGGAAGGACCCTGTTTTTTTATTTTCCCCCTTCCAAGTTTATTTTACTAGGACGCAGGGCCTCGTGGCCCGCTTACTACGATGAGACTAGTCAGGTGTTAACCAGTAGCATAGCTTCGCTATAATCACTGTTCCCGCCTAGCGGCATGGATACCCTAATTTGTTGCTGCACCCGCCACTTTTTTTTCGCCCACGCGGCCTTTTATATGCTTACGTGTTTCAACTAGGGACTTCGGGAGTACGAAGTATACTCCGGAGAGGCGTAAAAATTTAACTTGGATTGATTGTAGACCTCAAAATCTCCCCGACACCGGTCGGAGATTTTATATCCGATATTCCGACAAAAAAAAGATTTGATCTCCACCCAGTTCCACCAACATTCCCATCTTCGAATCAGAAAACGATTGTCAGCATTCAGCCACACCTGGGCAGTCCCATCAAACTCATCAAACTGCTGCCTGATTACCAGAGTACAGTAAGTGTACCAGTTAATGCTCATAATTCACCGGAATTTATGCTTAACTCCATAGAGACGATCCGGCAGATAGCTTCCCGGCCATCTCCCAGCGTGGATAGCTCGCTTTCGCTTCCACACTAAGATTCTCCTGTGGCTCGTGTTCGGATATTTTCACGCTATTGATCTTTTGATCTATTTCAAGGATTCGGAGCCACTACCATCCCTGGATAATTATGGACCTGTGCTGAGTCATTTATATAGGATTTTAGTGACTGGAGATGCTCAACATATTTCCAACCTTGGTAGAATTCCATGGACCCTGCTTACAAAGCGGAGGAAAATCACCCCGATCATCCATTACTGCCCAGTAGACTCTGTATGGGTCATTCGCTATAACTCCAGCGCTGACTACTCCGTACAATACTGCAAAATGGATCGTCAGGTGCCTTACAATGGTCTGAGCGCCCGTTTACGATAACCCCAGGTATCGCAGTTTAGGCTACAGTCAAACCCTCGCTTCCAAGAATCTATTGAATATTGACTGGTCTTGGTAAAATGGCCGTTCTTGCCCGATGCCCCTGTGAAGACGAGACGCTTTTTAATACAAATATATTTCCGATATCTTCGATAACTACATACATATCAAGTCAGCAAAACTGTATAGTGTAAGAACGATTCATCAGATCTCGCGTGGTATCCGCCATCTCCCAACAATCTAGGTATTCCCCTCTTAATTCCCCATTTATCTAAGTTTATATTCCCACCCTAAGTTCGTGCATCCAATTGTATTTAGCGGATTGTTGTAATCTCTGACATTTGTACTAGTAAACAGGAAACACAAGAGTCCACCTTCCCAAAATAAACTTACTATCGATATTGCGCCACGCGGAAGAGGCATAATGATAACCTCCATTATTATACGCCACCTATCAAATAAGGGTTCGGCCGAATGTGGTTCTTAGAGGTGGAGTTGAGGACGTATAAAAAAATGGAGGCCTGACGAGAGCGAACAACGTACTCTAATCTAAGTTCACTGGGCTGTGATATGTGGCTGAGACAAGGCGCAGTTCATACTTGGACAATCTCACATGGGTTAATCTATAACAATGACTTCAGTACTCCGTACGGAGTACAGCAGTACAAAGAGATTCGGTTTTGATAAGGTTAATTGGCCTCTATTTTTGCTTACTTTCTGTGCCCATTGGCTTCCCAACAACCATTACGCCTATATCAATATTAGCGTATCTATTATGAATGAAGCTGCGTAAGTGGAAACGTCACGTTAGTGGGCTATTCATGCTCCATGCTGGTGTTGCGTGCATGTTAAATGCCAAGCGAAAAGGGAAATTACTTCGAACAGTGATAGGTTAGCCCCTGCATATTTGGGTGGGGAGATATGGCGGCTACCTTGATATGGCGTTGCGAGTCCCGAAGAGTTTTTTCCGGATTTCACCGAGCGGAGAGGGATGAATACGTGAATGGGGGTCGTATTGCGTGGACGGGGGTATTGTTACTTGTTTGGATTATAGAGGTGTTTCTTGGGAACTTCAACGTCGTTCCCTCTGAGATCCCAGGTTTTGATTATACACAAGAAGATTATGAATCGCTCCATTGTCAAAGGGAAAGGCTTTAGATACTGTCCATGATGGCTGGACTATTGAATTATCATAGTTAACTAAATCGACACGACTATCGCCAGTGTGTCTGTATCGATACAGCCACCGGCAGTCTATTGCAACCCCTCAAATTACACCATAGACTGAAACGCATATCATACATATCATTGGCTTTGAAAGGCTGCCAAGATGAGAGAACTAAGTGGTTAGAAGCTAACAGCTGCAGTGCTTAGTCTAAGAAATACCATGCCCCCGCGACATTGGCTCTTGTCTCGTCATTCCAACTTCCCCTTCTATGATCTTGATAGACTTGTTAAGCAGAATTCATCTAATGGAGTGAACTTCGTCAAACCCAGGTGGTATAGTACTCAAATACGCTTTGGAAACACACTGGTGAGCCCGTGCTGACATTCATTTTATCGATCTTGTCAGACTCTTGAACAGACGAGTTCCCACGCCCGACCCTCATCCCCTGTCCAAATCATGCAGTAGCTTGATGCATCTTCAACCTCTTACCTGTGTTAAGGGTGGTATATCATTCAGTCAGCCAAAGCTGGTCGTCCAGTCTGCCTCTCGCTTTCTTGCTCCTTGTGTTCCCTTTTATCGTCTTACCCAAGAAGGAAGCAAGTCCGCCATTCTCTCCATGGCTGAACCTGGTACACATGTCATCCAACTTCGAAATGGAAGCGAAGCCGTCAGGTGCGACACACGGGCACCAGCGCCCGGGTCCTGCATGTGACGAGTGGCCACGCCGAAAGCTGCGCTGCAACATGCACCAAAGACAATGCGGGGTTTTTCAAGGGATAAGGACTGTGTGTGAGGTGACACAACCTGGGGCCTGAGGACCAAAAAAGGGTCACCTGAAGGTCTAGCAGAATGGAGTCGTTCATCTAGTGGCAGTGCTGAATAGCTTTTTTCTGGCGCGTTAGAAAGAAGAAGGCTCCCCTGGCTCTCCGAATAGCAATAGGCTGGCAACATCGGCATCGTGGATGACATAGATCCCGCTGGACCTGTGTGTGCCAACGGTGACGACTTCTTCTATGGCAGAGCTCGAGGCATTCGGATTCTACTTAACTTTACTTCCTCATCCCGGTCTTTTTGCTTGAGGTTGTCAATCATAGACATAACCCGCCACAGGAGACTCGCCGAGTAGCATGATGTATAAAAAAACGGAAAGATTCGGAAATCCAATGCAAGGCAGTGGATCCAAAATCAAGAAGATACAAAAAATAAAAACAAAAAGACCCTCGACTTTGGCGTTATTAGCACCACACTCTAACCAACTGAGTTATGGAACCCGGTTATATTGCTTGCCAGCTATTTTGGTCTTATCATGGGGAAACCAATACCCAGATTAGGGCTACAAGTATATATTGAAAGCATTCAACAACGATTCAATTCATGAGACAGACAAAATATATATTCCTTGTTTGGGCTTATCCGAGCACAGGTTGAAGGGTCATCGCCTGGGCAGGCTTCTGTGTTGACATCATCGCTGACATTCTCACTTCTCTCTTCCACTACTCCCTCTTCACATTCACATTCATACTTATATCCTTTCTCCATACTCTACATCTACAGCCTCCTTCGTCCTTTACATCTACCTCATCGACAACCATGTCTTTTGAGATAATCGCCTCGCCCAGGGAACCTGGCTGCCACAAGATCAGGAGTTGCTAAATCATCTCAAGCGGAGGTGAGGGACTTTAGGCTGTCCCTATCCCCTGTCGTTGACACCCAATATACCTCCTTCTCTGCTGTCACATCTTCAACTGATCTCAAAGGAAGTTCTCCTCACTCAATACTATCACGAGATCAGTCAAACTCTCTGATTGGTTCTAATTCTATGACCTATGCTTGGTCCTGGCGAGATATCCAAGACGGGGCAACCGCACTTCTAACAAACCGAATAGCAGTGTCTCGCTACCTTGCGTACGATTCTCCACGTCTTCGCTTCTTGTTTCACCTACTCTGGACTGAGGGAAGCCTCGCCGACTCTGGCCCACGCCCTCGGTTCCTTGTGTACTCTAACTGGCCCTTTACTCGTTGGCTGGTGGAAACGTTCCTCTCTGCCCTGAGTCGATTTTACCGTCATCCGCACTAGTATATCTATTAAGAGTCGGTCGGCCGCTATCTAGCAGTTCACAATCCTTAAGAGCACGACGACCGTTCTCTTGGCCACTTTTAACTGCGGCCCGCTAGGTTTAAACATGCACGTATGCTGCAGTTTTGGATGAGGATCGCATCATCGACCACCTCGATGCTTCGGATGCCATTCGATACGTTCAACAAGTGATGGAAAGAAGGTACGACGCAAAGCACACACCCTTGCAGTTGTCGGTTGGGGACCTCGTTTATGTCAACCTGCACAAGGGTTACAATGTGCCCAGGAAACTCATCATAATTTGGTGACCAAAGGGCTGGGTGGTTCAAAGTAACTAAGCTATTTTCCAACGCATGTGAATTAGCACTGCTACCGACTTGGATGATTCATCCAGTAATTTCCATCAAACATCTAGGACCTGATCCAAAGACCGCCGATCACTACGGTCGCCAATTCAATACAAATATTCTAGCTCCTATTAAAGCAGACGGCGACTGGCATTGGATGGTGAAAATAGTCGGCTCCCGGGTTCATAGTCGATGGAAGCGACGCCAATTTCTTCCACGTCGTCGCAATTTAGGCCCGGCATGAGACATATAGAGATCGGTTGCGGAAGTCCAAATCCACGCGCCAGTCAATCACTTAATCATCGCAAAAGTGAAGGTATCACCCTTCCAGAGGGGTCACAGAACTACAATAGCGTGTTCCAAACTGTGAATCGTATCCACCGTCTCAGGTAGGCCCACCCCCAGAAGGCATAGATCTTCTTCCAGGACCATACTATTCAGCGGCTGTTGGAATACAATTGCACCCGTAAGATAGTCTTACTAGCCTCCTCTTCACCAGACAAAGCTACAACTATCCTACCTCCCGATATCCCAAAGCTAAGCATAAGCGTGGATCCTAGCGGGTGGTGTCGTATTATACGCATTGCTCGACACCCACATCACCTTTAGACTCTGGTTTGGGCTTCGTTCGCTCGCCCACAACTATCCGACATAGATTACAATAAGTAGTATCACTGGTCGACCACTATTTATCGGTGGTTGTATTCGAACGTGGAGGAAGATGTTCAGATTATCATCGACAACATATCTGACCGATGTTAGAATCGTTTCACGGATTTGATTCTCAACGCTGTTGACACAGTGGCAAACAACCAGAGTGCCATTCACGTCACTAACTAGTGGCATAAATGGTGCTCCCTCCACCGAGCCGGGATTCTCAATTTCCCCAAACCACGACTCAGTCTACACTTTCTATATGAGGCTCACTGCTGATAAGCATTATGCACATATAGCTTGGATTTTGATGTTTTCCCGGCGTCTTGGGGTTTTCCGCCAGCAATCATTGACTTACCCATGATTACGACAACGCAACCCAGACCCCAGGCTAGCAAAGTCAATTTCGGCAAGACATGTGAAGCTTTCGGCGTTTGAACTTAATATCTCCCAGTTACGCGGCATATACGTATAGGGGATTAGTATAGGGACCCCCGTCCCCATCCCCGTTCCCGTCCCCGTCCCCGTCCCCGTCCCCGCCCTCGTCCTGTACCACGCACCCGGCCTCGGCTTGCTTCCTATAATGATGGATCCCGGTGAATAGAGCTATCTTGTGTCAATAGATCGGGGGAAGACTGGGTATTCTGGGTGCTTAGTATTGGTAGGGTGGGGACTCTGGAACAACCTTAGGTCGAAATCTAGATCTGAGTCTAGATAATCAAGGCCTAGGGAGGCTATATTGACGGTTTTGGCGATGAAATCGATGAAATTGACGAAGAAAGTGATAGAAAAATGGGTAGGAAGAAGGCAGGTTAATATATGTAAACCAGAATTGGAGTATCAATTTGTTTGATCTAGTTTATGTGAAAAGAGTGACTTAATTTTGTTAAGGGTTTATATACAAATTGTAGGTAGCTACCATCTGATTACTATTGTATAGGGAGTTTGACATGAAGGCGGTGTATGAAATTGGAAGGGGGTCCCTATAACTAGTTAGTTACCAATCCCCTACGTATATCCAAACTCGGAAAGCCCCGAGGTTGGGAAAAGGGACGGAAGGGGTTCCGCTTTCTTCGAATCCCCTTACCTCTTCGACAGCATATGGTCAACTTCTTGATTGCCCAGGTGTTTACCAAAGAATGACCTCGAAATGGTCTGAGAATCCTTGGAGCGGTTCAGCTGCAATTTGATTATTTTGTTCTACCTTCCCTCTCTCAATAACACCTGGAAGTCTCCCATTCAACGATCGAATCGCACCCTGCAGAACATAGTTAGCGGTTGCGGAGATAATGCGGGGGGTTATGGAGTGTATTCCAGTGTTGTGGCGGGTTTGCAAGCGTTGTATATAATGACATTGTCTATAATGCGACGTCATATCAGTCTATCGGGCTATTACCAAGACCAATAATACCAAGACACCGTTGTTGATATTATCATGTGAGCCAAGAGTGAGGCTCTATATAGCGAGTTAGAAGACGAGATGAACACAGGAACAAAGTTGACAGATTGGTATAGCCATCTCGATCTGCCTGGCTGCTGGGTATAGATGCTGACGTTCTTGGGTCGTTTCAGTGGAGGAAAGAGGTTGTTCCGATGCCTGAGAGGATTCAGGGACAGGTGCTTCTTCTAGAGGTTCTTTGCCTCTTGTAGTACGACGTTTTCCTTTATCCACCATTGTTCTTCCTAGGTAACCAAAAATGAAGAATTGGGAATTGTAAAGAATACTAGTTGTCAGGCCAGTTCCTGTTGGTCAGGCAGGTTGAACGGTAGTGGAAGGGAGAAAGTATGTGTCGTTTCTCGGAGAATCTACTTCACAACCTCAAATCTGTCACCGGCGTCGCTCCGAAAGTAAGAGTCGGAGGAACCTCGCAGTATGTTGAATTACTCTACGGATTCGTGATTGCCTGTGGTTACAAGAATCCATCGATAGGGACAATGCCATGTATTCCCCTGACCAGGAGGACAATGTCAAACTTGTCTACTAAAATCCTACGGATGATCAGCAAATCGAAATCAATTACAGTCCGACCTATTTTGAGTCGTATCACACCCTGGGACAAGTCAAATACCTGCATGGGTTGAACACAAATCAAAACTCATCGACTGAACAGCTCGAAGTCTCAGCTACGGAAGCTGGTACTCCCATTGGTCGCCAGCTGCATCTGTTTGAGCTGGGTAACGAGTTCAATTTCGCTCCCGGAAAATATCGCTCTGCAAACTATTCACTTCTTGATTATGTCGAAGAGTGGAACTCCAAGTCTGCTATTTTCAAGTCTTCTGTACAGTCTTTCCCGGGGCTTATGGCGCCTAGCTTCGTCTTGCTGGATTTCATTGACGAAACTCCCTGGACTACCGAGGAGGTCTACAATCTTGGATACGATAAATATAATCTAACCAAAGAGCTATGCTTCCACTAGTTAAATATCCACTATCCTTCTTCTCTTTTTGCTTCGCTGACTTTTGGGACAGCTATATGGGTGTCAATGCACCTTCTCTGCCCCCTGCGCAGTTCAATCTCCAGCGTATGTGTTGGACCGTTCTCTCCAACAGAGTAATGCTGATAACGACACGGACTTTGATGAATCACACAAACACTGTCCAAACCTTGCATACCTTGGTCTCTCTTACACCCTTGGTGAGATAAATTCCATTGCAGACCAGGGCGTGAATGGAGAGACTAATGTGTTTGGTGACGCTCTGCGGCTGGTCGACTTCTCCCTCTGGGCAGCAGTACACGTACGAGCCAACCATATTTCCCATAAAATTTACAACAAGCCACTGAAATTGAGCAGGGTATCAAGCGTCTGCACTTCCATCAAGAACTAAGCCACCGTTATGCCTTGTGGCAGCCAATCGAGAGCAATGGACTTCCTCCAGCCACCAGACCCCCACACTACGGTCAGATCGTGGTCACTAGTGCTATCGGACAATCTGAGAACACCCTAATTGTCAACATTCCTCTGTCGGAGGATACGGAGTCCGCATATCCCATCTACAACGGAGATCGACTGTCGAAGCTAGTTGTGACAAATATGCGGGCTTTCAACCAGACTAAGTCAGATCGCGCAGGGAATACAAATTCCACGTGCCTGGACAAGATAAAATTGCCAGGGTTGAGCACCTGATTGGCCCAGGCAGCGACGTGCTTGGTGATATTACTTTTGGTGGTATTTCGTATCGTCATGCATTGAATGAGGGGAAACCGGTCCAACAGTATTCGAGCGAAGAAACAAGGATTAAGAATGGGCTGCTTATTACCGCTGTTCCGGGCTCTTCCGCCGTTCTCCTCTATGATTTGCTCCATTTGGGCTGTGCAGGGGATCGAATCTCGGATAGTCCATATATAGGTACTATAGAGATATAGCAAATATAGTCCGCGGTTAATTGCGGTTAACAGGCGCAACGCAACCGTCTTTCAATAGCCTTATTTCAGTCTAGAATCCATCTAAAGATAACTAAGTAAACAAAAGATCATTACTCTTTTAAATTTGATTTAGATCTCATTCGCAAATTAGCAAAAGCACGAACCCAACATGCCAAGCAGCTAAAGCAGCTTACGATAGGGCTAAGGGGACTAGACTGGGCCCCTCCATTTCAGCCCCAGGACCAGGACCCCTTTCCCTATTTTCAAATGTAAAACGTTTTCAATTTAAGACGCTTGTCGTCCTTTTCCTTCTTTTTTTGGCGTTTTCACACGTTCCACCATGGCTTCGCGAGAGTCGCGGGAGTCGCAGCACTCGCTGCTATCCGAGGATTCGATCGACGCTCGACCCCAACGGTCTTGGAATCCACTCAACAATCGCCTAACCGACTCGGACTATCACTACTATGCCCCCTCGGACAGTACCAGCACCTGGTCCGAAGAAGTTCTGCGCGATGTTGGTCTGGGCATCTCGAACTCATCAGGCGACACCTATCCAGCAGAACTTCCGGCAGACAACCGCCGTTCAACCGATAGTACCGCGACTACGACTCCAAATACCTACAAGATTCCCCAATCTCCCGAGTCTCCGCAGACTCCACAGGCCCACGCCCACGTGCGGTGCCCCAATCGAGCAACGGTTCTCCAGAAACGGCTCTCATGGGTCCCGTTGACAGTCTTGGTTCTCGCTATCTATGCAACCATCTTTTCGGGTATCTATCTCGGTATTGCGCTGCGCAAGCCACGATGGCCCGGTGTCTCCAGCGATGGTCCGTTGGTTCCGTCTACAGCAACCTTGCTGAGCGCATTCTTTGCGAAGACGATCGAGTTGGCATATGTTACGATTTGCGTCGCGTTTCTGGGACAGGTGCTTAGTCGGAGGGCCTTGATGAGGAATTCTCAAGGAATCAGTATCTCGGATATGAATATGAGGGCCTGGATTATGCAACCTGGATCCATGATTGTGCATTGGGAGGCGTTGCGATACTCGGCGCTCACTTTCCTCGGGTCGGTTGCGTTGGTTTCGACGTTCGTGGCGATGCTATACACCACCGCGGCGCAAGCTTTAGGTAAATTCATTCTCTTCTATCCACAAAATATGTCAAACACTAACCAACGATAGTTGCTCCCAAGCTCTCTCTTGGTCCCATTGAACCAAGGATACTCCAGGGCAAGGTAACCGCCAGCTTCGCAAACCCCCAATACATCGCATCAGCCTGCGAGACACCCGTCACCAACGACTTGGACCCCTACAATCGCAATAACACCTGCCTCCAAATTGAACACGTCGGCCACGCATATCACAACTACCAGCAATGGATAACCCAATGGAGCCAGCTAGTAACCAGCAAGAATGAAACCTCAAGCCAACTCCAAAAGCGCCCACCGCCAACAGGCTCACTCTGGGACAACACCACAGTAACAGGCAGCTGGATCAACATCCAAGACATGTCCACACTCTCCAAGAAACACGACCGAATGATCAACAACATAACAATGGCAATGCCGCACGGCGGCATCCCCTTCGCAGCAATGAACTCCAAAAACAAACTCAAACAACCCACAGACAACTCCGGCGAAGGAAAATACAACATCGAAGCCTCCGTCCCCTCACCAGCCGTCAACGTCCTCTGCACAGGAATGACAAAAGAGGATCTCAGCCCCCTAGTCTATGCCTCCTGGCCCGGCGGCAACAAATTCAACTCGACAACCTGGAATTTCTCACCCCCAAAAGACATCCCCCACCCTGCAGACTGGGAAAACAACACAGTCGTCGACTCACTTTTCGAATTCGGACCAAAATATGGCCAAATCCGACCCATTTTCGGAAAATACCCACTCCCATACAACACAATCCTCAACACAACAGGTGTCTGGCCCGCAAACGCCATCTACCTCCTCGGCGCAACCAACAACACCGATATGCCAGAGTACGTGATGTGCTCTTTGCGCGGGAAACAAACAGGCATGTGCTCGACCAAGTACTCCGCTGACAGGAGCGGCGCATACCTCAGCACGGACTGCGAGAACGCCTCAAATGATCTACAATACAACCGACGACAAGAGGACGCCTCCGAGGGCCTGTGGGACGCGAACTGGAAGAATATCGCGTCGGAGTGGGCGAATTCGCTCAGCTTAAATGGCGGTATTTCAGATGGCGCGGCGAGCAATGCCAGACTGCTTATGCAAATGATGCCGCGGTATGACAAGACCGAGGAAACCTTCGAGCTGGACCCGGTTCTACCGTCTATCGCCGAGGCGTTGGCGGTAATGGCTGGGAGTACTCTTATCCTCAGTTCGCAGGATGCGCCGTTCGTTCCGTTTTGGAACTACAGTACTGGGAGTGTTCTTTCCGAGCCTGTTTATCAGATTTTCAATGCTTCTATCCAGGCTGTGGGATATGCATCCGGTGGGACGGAGGAGTGGCAGGGGGTTTTCTACGTGATTCTTGTTTTCGCGTTCCTGACCAGCGCTATCTGTCTCGGGTTTATGATTGTCGAGGCGCGAGGTCGACAAGTGACTGATTTCACGGAGCCGCAGAATTTGTTCGCGCTTGCTGTGAATAGTCCGCAGACGACGCAGTTGGAGGGTGCTTGTGGGTGTGGACCTCAGGGGACGCAGTTGAAGGAGAGGTGGTTTATCGGGATGGAGGAGGATGATGAGCATTATTACATTCGGAGTAAGACGGAGGAGAAGATTCCGCTTCTTCGGAAGACGGTGGATTCGACGCATCTGGAGCCGATGGAGATTGAGGATGGGGGTGGGAGGTTGCTCAGTCCTATGGTTGATGAGTTTAGGAAGGTCTCGAAGAGGCATTCGTTTTTGGCGAAGCTCTATTGAGGACACTCCTGATACATCTTCATTGGGCGGTTGGGTGCTTATAATTCATGATTTACATACGATAATGATTAATAATGGATATGACGAAAGACCTTTCAATAGGGCATGGCTGGAGCATGCCCTTGGTTTCAATAAGTGATTTACACTCAGATCGAGATATGTACAAAATAAAATCAACACAACACCCATACAAGAACAACTAGATCGGCATAGTACAGGCACAGCCATGAAGTCAACGAATCAAAGAGAGCGACCGGTTCAACAAGTGTGGCACAACGCTAAGGAATCGCTCATACACACAAAAACAAAACGAAGATGATGCTGGATGCAGATAAAAATGCAGCAGGTCAAATGCAAGGACAGAAAACAAGAGTTTTTTTCAAGACGCCAGTAGCCAGGGAGATGCCATGAAAGGAATGGATGAGAGAGATAAGAGAGTCGCCAAGTGACCTGGCGAGGTAGGTATTTTATGAAGAAAAAGAGGGAGAGTATGGGAGAGTTGGGCTCCAAATGGACTGTAAGTCGGAATGGGCGAACGTATGTTAACGATCAGCCTTGAGATTGAGCCAGCTCATATCTGAAGTGTTATTGTTCTTCTGCCCTTGCATCGGAAGTTCGTCGATATCGTGCGGTATGATGATGCTGGATCTTCGTGCATTGGACTGTCTTGCCTTTTCCCCGGGGCTTGCATTCGATGATTCCCAGGGCATATCTTGCGTGCTCGATTGGTAGAAGCTGTTAGTGTAGTTGCTGCTTGTGGGACGTCCAAGCCAACTGCTCTGGCCCGCACCTTGCCACTTCGGATCATCGCGCTCATCGTCCGAGGCGATACTGATTGAATCCGCACTGGATATCCGTGCCGATTGGCTCTCCGGGATCACCAGACTTCGACTGCCCATCTCAGATTGGCCGTTTTCCGTGGTCGGGCTGCCACTGAGAACGTGACCGAGTGGTTTAGGTTGGTCGAGGAAGCCGAAATTCAATGGTGTCAAGGTAGTCATCGGCCAGCCGCTTCCGCGGTAATCGGACTTGGTGTATGCGGAACTGATAGTCGAGCGGTCGGATTGGAAGTTAGTGGCACCGCCGTCCTCAAAGTACTTCCCCCACCCTTCGTCAGTCATTCGGTCTGCGGCCTTGTCTCCATGCCCGATATCATCGCCAGCCCGATTGCTGTCGTCGGTGTATACGCTCGATGCGCCCATCACACCGCTGGAGGGAATTGTAGAGAGCGGACTGCTGCTCTTTGGCTGAGAAGACAATCCATAACCCGTATTAACAGGTGGCTTGAGGGACTTCTCTCCTCTGTAATTGCCGGACATGATAGCCAATGAGTCGACCGAAGTAGCGGCGAGTGGGACAGGAGATCTTGCCATTGGGTAAGCGCCTTCGGTCAGGGGTTCTATGCCCTGATCCTGGAAGCTTAGGCGGTCTTTGTTATCGCCACCGCGACCGGGTTCGGCTGCCTGTTTCTTCTTCTCGCGTCGAAGTAGGAAAAGAATGATGAGTAGGATCAAGCCAAACCCTAGGATACTCCCAAGAGTTGCGCCAAGAATCATTTTGCCATGATCAGTCAGGCCGCCACCTACAGCCGCAACTGGTGATGATGAAGTGGGCGTAGTTGAGGCCGAGGTCGATGTGGATGTGGATGAGGTTGATGTCGAAGTAGATGATGTAAATGACGTGGTGGATGGTTTGAGCACATGTTGGTCTCCTTTTCCATAGAACAGCTCTGTGGAGTTGACCCATGCATTGGAAGTCTGGTTGAAGATTGCCAATGAGTTGTTACTTTGGCCGCTAGCGAGAACTACCAAGCCATCACCCTGGGCGAGCGTATAATCAGACCAGGATGCCGTCGGTGCGTATGTGCCGTTATAAGAATCGGTGAGATCCCTCTTTTCCGAGGATGCGATGGCTTTAACCGGGTTCTGCACCTTTCCTTTCGAGCTAAGAAGGTAGCTAGTGACACTATTTGGGGAAGCGACCATCTTAAACTCCTCGAGGACCTTGGTCCCGGAGTCGGAGGCGAGCGCGCATAGAGATGAAGATTCGATTGCAGAGGGAAGAGTCGCCTCTGAGATGGTGAAGCCTTTCTTATTTGTGGAGTCGTAGATGAAGATGGCGGTATTCGTGGCAGAGCCTCCAATCAAGGCTACCTCGGAAGAACTCCAAGGCAAAATGATGGGCTCATATAATGCCGGTGCGCCCTGGTCGAGCCCGGCCGACACGCCAAATGGGGCTGATATTGTTGAAATGAGGAGTACCGATTGAGAGATCTGTGTGCTGCCATCTGTGTTTCCTGCATAAACCAATATTTGCGATGTTGAGGAAATGTACCCGGCGGCATGTCCAGTCCGATCTTTCATAGCCGTTGATGCCATGGTTAATGTCTCCCACTTCTGTGTACTGAACACAAAGCGTTGGAGGCCGCTGCTGCCAGAGGAGCCGGTCCCGCCGACCAGATAAAATGCCTTTTCATCTTCGTCATTTTCATTCCCTCCAATCCCACCCTGGACGCAGGCAGGGCCGGTAACCATGTGCTCTGGGGACGGGGACGGGAGTTTCTTCCATTCCCCATTCTCTTTGAGAGGTATTGATGCAAAGCCAGTCGGCGAATAGACGTAGAGAGTATTTTTGTGGATAGTGGAGCAATCGCCCTCAATCTTGATTAGGGGTTTGGGACCAGTCATGTTGAAAAGTTCGAATTGAATAGTTCAAAGTCGCGATCGATTCTGGGCCAGTAGTGAAGGTGGATTGGCCAGCCAGCACGGGACGTACAAGACCCAAACGAGACAAGGAAAGGTGACGGCCAGAGCACTATCTCATTTCGACCGAGGCAGTTGAGCGAAAAATGCCAACAAACTACGCTCGATCTAAGTGAGTTGACGCGATAACAGGCAATGTGAACACGGGTTCTCGACTGCTTTCCGCGCGGTTAACTGCGATTTCAAGTTCTCAGGGCGAAACTGAGGTGGATCGCGTATCGGATGATTCGGCGACTCGAGATGACACAATCAGAGTGGTGGTTCAGATGTGTCAACAATGAGATCACAACACGGACGCGTCGGTCAGAGATGGTGTCGAGTAATCACAAGGGTCTGAGGGGCTGGGCGATCCAGTCGTAAGGTGCGAAAAAAAAAGAGCCAACGAAACCCGATTAAGCGAATGGGGGTTGGTTGGTTGGCGAAAAGAAAGGCTAGAATATCAAAGTGCACAGCACGATTGTAAATGCAGAGAACGATAAAAGGAGAGGCAGAACAGAAACAGAAACCACCATGTGAAACAGGGAGAAGGGCCTATCAACCCCCTAACGGAGGAGGTTAGCAGACGGCATAGGGGGGTTAGCGAACAACGCCATCCCTTAAGGGGAATAATTTCGTCATTTTCAATTCGTTCGGGTTTTTTTGCGGTAAGTTTTTTTTTCCCCGTTAATTTGGTTTATTTCATTTTGATTGGATTTGAGAATCATTCTCATTACCTCCTTCGTCATTATTGGTTCTTTTCGCCTTCATCTATTCTCTTCGATATTGATCAGGGGGTTCTCCCGTGAGTCCCGATGTGGTGGGACCACTCGTGTACCTGGACCCCGTTTTAACAGGCACTTTGCACTCTTGGCACTCCTGGATTTCCAATGCTTCTAGGGCGGATCTCGGGATGTATACAACATAGACAGCAAGGGAGAGTGCAGATGTGATGCATAACAGGATTAAATGTACTCCGTACTTTATAAATGACAATATAAATAAATCGAATAAAAAATAAACAAACGCACTTTGGAACCTTGGAAGATTCCCCCTCTCCAGACCCGTGGTTCTTGTCCGTTGGACCCACGGAAATTCCAAAACTCTGGCGCCTTGGCGTTCCACTTCCAAGGTTCTTCCTCTATAATTGTACTATATGGAACTCTGCCGAAGTCTTAATATTAAGCAATAGTGCCTAACCTTGGAAAGATACCAATTATATGAGCACATGTGCACACATTGAATTCCTTCATCTCTCAAATCCTCGATTCAGAGATTATTAAAATCTGAGATATCTTTTTTGTGGAACCGGAAAAGGGCTGGCGCTCACTACATCTACGAATTTCCAATTTTGATCGCAGGTGTACAGCATATAGTCTAGTTTCGAATTCATAGTACTAGAGGGCGTCAAGCTATACTAACTCATCCTCATATCGTATGTCTCCAGGGCTGTAGAATCTTGGACTTCTGCAGTCATTCCACGCCCCTATTGTCCCCAAGTCCAAAGATCAACGATTACCGCACGAGCATGTTTTGGTCCCGTAGAAATCCTTCTTGCAAATGTCACAGATGTCATCAACAGGCTGATCTACTATTTGGCCCCCCACTGTTTCAAAAAAAAAAAAAAGGGTGTTAGTTAGGGTCTAGCAATTGACGTCGATACGAGCGAGCACTTACTATTTTTGGTAGGATTGGAAGGTAGCTATGAAAGCGATGATGACCTGAAGAGGATTGTAGTTTCGATGGCTGTAGCTGAGTATACAAAGATTGCGTATAGAAAGCAGAACAATGCTTGTTGAGTGATGAGCCCGTCAAACTGAAAATCAAGAAGGATATGTGTCCTGCGTCACTGCTCTCGCTGTTGATGGCTCATCATGGTCGGACATTAGTAGTACATTTATTTATGTCCAACTAAGCAGAGTCACTATTCTCAAAAGAAGTTATTCGAATTCCCCTTTGTCCTGCGGCCATGATCCTCATTGAACACGATTGTCTTGTTGCAACCATTTTTTTCCAAGATTATCAAAATATCGATCTTTATTTCATCTCTTAGCGTCTTCAAATATAGATTTCTCTGTTGGGCGTCCTATTTTTATACTTCTGTCATGTGGACTAATTCCCTATTCAGGAAATTCTGATGTCGCATACCCCAGCTCGCTTTATATAGATCCGCCCCAAATATTGACTATCAACAAATCCTCCACAAGTCACCTAGACGATCTTGGATTTCCTTTGTTATCGTGCTTCATAGCCCTTTCTAAAGGATTTGTATTGTGTCGACTTGTAGTTCATCTACTAGAAATTTCTGTACGTTCGCCATTCTATATACTGACCCAGATATCCCACCGTTACCTACTGTTTTGTAGGCAAATCAAACATTCGAGGCGTCTGGAAGTGGCGCTTATTGCAAGAGTCTAAACGATTCTCTCTACAAAGAGCTTTGATTCATTCCTCGAATTAAACATGTCACCTGTTCTATGATGAACTCTTCAACACCGTGCTATATAAGGGGAATATCAACACAGTGAAAGAAAGGGTCCCGGGAGTGAGGGGTTGGGCGATGCAACGTGGGGCTGTGGAGCTGTGGATATGTATGTTTCTGAGACTTGGGACAATGTCTCAGTTCTCCGTGTTTTGGATGGCATCGGGATAAATTGTCGATATAATCAAGAGTTGTATACACATATGCTCTTATCTCATGATCTGCTTTGTGAGCTGTTCTAGTAGAAATGCATGTAAGCAGATATATGGGTAACATCTTCCTATCAGCTTCTGCAAAACATTCGCCCGATCTCTAATTCAACCGACGCAGGTATACTACTACAGGTATATACTACAAAGCCAGCCTGCGCTTCGCTGAAGGATTACCCGCGGGGATGCAGCAGTTGCACAACAGGACCGGGAGAATATGTAATGGCAACTGGTGTAGCCAGCACGCACGACATCCATACCGCATACCTGCCTGGATGGAGGGGACGGTCTCATTTTGAAGACACTACATATCGGTTCGTACCGCTTAACCGGCGACACCGATTCGATCGAATGAGAGAGTTTGGTCCGGTTTCAATGTCACACGCAGATATCGGAAATAGTATTCTGGTCTGATTATTATAACACATTAATCCATCCGCATGACCATGGACTTTGCGTGGATTGTTTCATAACGGAAATGGTCCAAGGTGTTAAAGCAGTGGCAAATATGGGAATCAATTGATTTTGTAAAATAAAAGCTACCACACGCTTTATTACTGGGTCTGCTGCTTCCATTGGTGTGCCTTTTGAAGCAGACGAGAAAGATTGGCAGCAGATTGATCGTCTGCAGGGAACACGTAGTCCGTGTACTCCTCGTACTGATCGTCCTCCAACTTGCGGCGCTTCGTGACACGTCGGGGCATCTGTTTTTCGACCTTCGCGATATCCTCGGGCGATGATCCACTTGAGTGTTCGAATGCTCGCCAGTAGTTGAGAATCTCCACGCGCTGTTCACAAGTTAGAATAGACCGAAAAGGGTGTGGAATATGGGAATAACAACTTACATCTTCCTTGAGACCCTTGTCTTTGAGCACCTTGTGTGCCCGACTAAAGACCGCACGCGCGCGGCGAATTGTGTCTTCGCTGAGCGGCTTCTCCTCTTCCTCTTCCTCTTCTTCTTCATCCTCTTCCTCGCCCGGCACAGAGGCCTCGAAGCGGGCGTAGTTGATCCATACCTTGACGTGATCGGTCTTCTGAAGGAGACGTTCGTACAATTGTCGAACTCGCTCATACTCGCCTATCTCTTCTTCGAAGTCGATGTAGGCCTTCCATACAAGCTCGGGCATGTCAAGTGTCGGTTGCTCGATGCCAAGCTCGAAAATGCCCCTCGCCCGTTCCGCGTCGTCCAGAGTACGCTCCAGATCCGCGAACTGCATCCACGACTGGCTGTTGGAGGGGTTCCATTCAATTTGCTTCTGGAACAAAGTACGGCACCGCCCGAACTCGTACATCCGGCGTTCAATGTCGATATAGCCACGGAAAATTTTGTCTTTCGGACACATTCCGATCGCCTGGCCCAGTGTCTTCCGTGCTGCTTGTAGTTGCATTTGGCGAACCTCAAACTGCGCCTTCATGAGCCAGACTTTGCCAAATGTGAACTTCTTGTGCGGGATTATCCTCAGGCACTCCTGATAGATTTGCCCAGCGCGTTCCACCTCCTTCGCTTCCATTTCTTCCCACACGGCGTAAAAGATCCAGAGATAGATATAGCGGCGCCAATGTCTTTTCTCTTGTGATGGGGGAATCTGTGCAATGGCCCGTTCGTATATGTCCCGCACCCGCTCTGGGTCGCCCGACGTTTCCTCCAATCGTGCAAAGTCGAACCAGATGTCGTAGTTGCGAGGGTTCTCCTTGAGCTGCTCTTCATACTGCACTCTGCGCTTGGACAGAATCACATCCTCCACACCTTCACGGTCACCGTATTGCTTTTCGAAGGTTGTGTAGGCCTTGTGAAGGGCCATAGCCTTGGACCGCGGAAGTCGGTCTAGGGCATACTTGTAAATCGCTCGTGCGCGCTCATATTCCTTCAACTTAGCCTCGAATTTGGCATACGCGGAAAAGAGCTTCTCGTCCATGAAGTCCTCCCCTAACGTTTCGATAGCCACACCATAGACCTCGCGGACCAAGTCACTTGTGCCATACTCCTCCTCGAAGCGGGCCCATTTGATCCAGTTTCGGGGTTCGGGGTGGACAACAGTAAACCGCTGGAAAATGCCGCGTGCTCGTTCGAATTCGCTATATCTCTTTTCCATTTTGATGTATGCGCCCCACGCACCCTCTTCCGGCTCCCATGACATCCATCGCTCGAACACTTGACGGGTGCCGGGAATGTTGCCTAGTGTCTCCTCCATGTAGACATACTTATACCAGAGCTTGTCGATGCGGGGGAGGATAGTCACGGCGCGGTCGAGGAGGTT